TTACCCAAAGGGTATTGTGTATATGTACTCGGTGAGTTAGCTTAAAGTTTTGCATCAAATTGTAGCTGTTATAATATTTCTTGAGACCCATTTTTCCTGCACCTTTGTACGCTTCTCTTAAACAGTCCTATTTGGTTAAGTGCACGCTTAAATTTGGCCATGCTTTCTTGGACAACTGAGGGCGTTGTTGCAGTGATGTCATCCACGGAAGATATAATTTAGAGCATATGTTTTTCTGTCAAAATTGTGAACCCAGAATTTACTTTCTGAGAAAGGGATTGAGGTTTGCGTACTGCTATGTACGTACGTGAGCAATAATAAATCAGCATCAGAGAAAATAATGAGCTTAGCAAAATCCACAAAAAGTGCAGGATTTTATGTGTACAAACCAATGCAACATTTAAGCTTTCTTCCTGGGATGACATCATAGTTTTGCTCATAAAAACAGAAATTTTCATTAGCATAAAAACCAAAGAGGCAGTAAAATACCCTTTAAAATAGTGAAACAAAAGTTACAAACAAGGTTAACTGAGACACACAGGTGCATTTTGAAGGTTTGTTTTAAAACCAATTGTTGGCAGCTACCCTTTAAGGACCGATCTCCCAGGCAATTACAGCAAAATTGCAAAATAAAAAGAGCATCTAAGGATGATGACACAATGTATCGACTTTAAAATAGTCTGGATTGATCTGTTTTCCTACTTGGAGAAATGTCACGAAATAATGAATCTGTGACAGGCCAGTAGAAAAAATACAGTTATGGTAGTGGCACCGTGTAAATGGATTTTGGCAATCTATGGCAAGTTAGCATAAGCTGCACTCGTAAAAAAGAAAATAAAATTAGAGTACCGAAGCGTGGTTACCTAACACCCCACACTGTACTGCAACATCGAGCAAAGTCCCTCCAAAACATAGCCCTCCACCATAGTCAAACTGCGAAAACATAGGTTGTTTAACATTACAAACATGGAAAGCCGTCGGGAACGAACAACCCACAATTTTGATTGATTCATTAATTAATCGATTAACTGTTTGCCTAACTGACCATTAAATTTTTTTTCCGAAGTTCGTTTGCTCGAGACATAGATTCTCGAGATCTTTCTTCATGAGATATTCGTTCTTACATGACAAGGGGTATATTTAAAACCACTTAAATTTGAATTTTAAATATATTTTCAGGTTTGAATTTATTTCCCAAAACGAAACCCTTCAAAATAATATAACTTATATAAACAAATTTTAAAAATCTCCTAAAAACAAACTTGGAAAATATGTCTCGTAAAAACGATTTCTTTCTAAATTACAAACACTGTTTCCCAATATAGATATTATAAAAACGAACTGGATGGTAGATACCTCCAACCAACGTACTTTAGAAAAAAAATCTCGTAAAACAAACTTGCAGAAAAAAACATTTCATAAAAATGAACTTCCATCAAACATATTTCATAAAAAAAAACGAACATGGAAAGAAACGTACTCCACTTTTTGAAAAATACATAGTTGATGGCACTAAAGGGCTTTTGCAGTTTTGTTACAACAGTTGATATGTTTCAAAAGAATACACCACTTGATTAAGTTCAGTCATTACAGAAATTCAGACATTCCTCACTATGCTTCGTTTGTTAACATGAGTGAATTCCAATGCTCGACTTCGAATTTGATTGCGCCATGATTGCATCAATTATAGGAAGACAAAGGTTAATTCATGAATTGCAAATATATTCTCCAATGCCCATAAATGAAATAGAATGGCCAAAACAAACCTGAGAGGCAAAGCCAATGTTTTGCGTGCGATGTGCACAAAAATTAATTGACTGTGATAAAGGAAAACAAGAAACCCCATTACGAGCAAGTAGAATTGAACAACCCGTGCGAGTGCGTGTTGACAACAATGAACGTTATTTTGCTGGAAATAGGCCTTGAAAACTTACAAGAAAGAAGAAATGAAAGTTGCGGTCGATTTTCCAAGGTGTGATGAGAAGGGCCAAAGGGGACCAATTCAACTTATCAAATGAGTCCCCATCCACGTGGTGCAATGTATGTAGTTGCCAGTAATTACTGCTTAGGATTTGTAGCTTCCAATCGTGGGGACTTGGGTTCGAATCCTATAGCAGGTGGTTACGTGTTGTGACCTCGGGCAAGTCCCTTTATCTTAACCGGCGCCCACAGATAGGAAACCTCTCATCAAGTAGAAGGAAACTAAAGGGGATTAAAGGTCTCATCGAGTATCGAACTGGACAAGTTCCAAGTTATTTACGCGGTTCCTTCGTCGAATTCGTCGCATGAAGAGAAGCTTCAATTGTGCTCGAAAAAAAATCATACTGAATGCAGTAAATCAGCGGGTTGAGAAATGCGCTGCTGTATACAGCGACCCTGTCCACACACTCTCGCCGAATATCAAGTCATTAAAGTGGGCTATTACGTTTGGTATCCAGCACACCGCCAACGCAATACATATCAAGAACGTTGTAATGAGAACGTTCTTCTTGGCTTTAGTGATATTATTTCGTGAACCCCTTTCCGGAATTGCAGTTCTCTAGTGTAATTTGATCAGTATCCTCGTAGGTATAGACGATGACGATGATTCGATTGCAATCGGACATAGGCCTTTAGTGATGGCAAGATATAGACTAAACTCGATCCTTATCATCCTGCAATGTCCTTGGTACGCCTCTACCATAAACATCATAGGCAAGTTATCAACCACGCCCACCGTCCAGACAAATAGAGCGGAAAACTTGAATTTGGTTGTGGACCATTTGCTGCGGTGCGTCAGTGGATAGCAGGTCGCCATAAACCTCTCGATCGCTATGGGCACGGTGTAGGAAGTTGACGCCACAAGAGCGCTCCACAACAAAATATCCGTGGCAATCAGGTGACGCCTAAATTGGTCGTAAAAGTTAACCTCCCTAGAAACGGCCATGCTTGGACTGCAAACAACCTTCTGAAAGAACAGCAACGCTGCAGCGAGACAATCGTTGACGGACTAATGCCGGATGAGTCAATGCATGAAGGAGCCAAACTACTTTCGTCTGAGGAGTATGCCGCTGAATGCCAGGCAGAAAAGGGCTGGGCAGGCAATGATAAAAAGTGTTGAATGCATCCTGCACAGGGATGCGCTGATCACCCGCCCAGCCACCATTCGTGCCGCTTGTGACACCAATATCCTTAAAAACCCTCTAGTGGTCGTCTGCAGCCATACTGCTCAAGGACTGATTCACAGGTATCTTAATTTCGGGAAAAGCACATTTTTGAGGCCGCCTCCCATTCATTGTTTTCGAATGACCCAATTAGGCTGTGCAGAGCTGGCTCACACTATTAATTAACTTGCGGTTACCATTGAAGCTGTCCACAAACAAACGGAGCACCAACTTCCTCGCTAACGTCAACCAAATCTGTGCTTGTCTTTATGCCCTTGAGGAAACTGTTTTCCTGCATCTTAAAATTAATGACTAAATAAACTGTCCCGTGACAAAGGAGTCTAGAAATACCCCAACCCACGTTCAGGGAAATAAAATTTGCTATATCCTGTATTGCTAGTTACTTTCAGTTTTCTTAAGAAAAAAATCGTTCGCTGTCGCCGGACAGATGGAGGATGCTGTACAAGGACCCTTTCCCCGCAATACAAATTGCGACGACTGTTTCAGGAGCAAACTCACCATTAATCGAATACAATGTAGAAATAACAATCAGTATGTCTTTCACAGTTATCTTTCATATCAAGACCAACCGTTCTAATGCTGACATTATGATTTTCGTGACTGCGCTTAGATCAGGTGGTGATTAATTACCCTTATTACGAGTGCCTTTGAGACGAAGGGATGAGTGTACAGGGCTGCACTGTTAAATGGATGTCAATTTTTAGATGGATTCGAACTTCGCAGAGATCAACTCGGGAACAATTTCATGGTATAGTTTTAGTCATACAGAAGGGTATTTTAACACGGAGGGGTGTTGCCTATTTACGTTTTTTTACATGCTAGAATGAGGGATCTTTTACGTTTTACTTTGCCCTAAGTTTAAAACAAACTTAAATTAATTACTCGTTCTGTGTCCTCGTTTGCATTCGACTTCGAAACATGAACTGAATGAATTCAGCCTCATGCGTCCATGTGTGATCGCGTTTAGGCAACAATGTGACTCTTGAGTAATGCTTTTTATCACTATGCATTTCTGCTTCGACGAGTCTCAACTTTCCATCCAGATTTATTTTTCACTCACCTCAGAAAATCTGTCGGAATGTGCCTACCAGTCAACGGGTAACTTTTTTTCAACTTCAAATAAAGCAAGTACAACTCAAATCGATCAATTCCTAAAAACTGAATTAGTAACTCAGCTGGCAATTAATCTAATTTCAAACGAAACTTCATAAATATTCCTTCAAGAATCTAAGCACTAAAACATTTCCTGGCTCAAAAACTTATCAAATACAGAAAAAATGAAATAATCATTACTTCCAAAATTATTTACATTTTTTATCAACAGAATAACATACATTACGCATTCACGAACGAAACCTATAGTTCAATTGACAGTCCCGATAAAAACGTATGGCAGTACCATCATTAGAATCAGAGCCGGCAAAAGGCATTGATTGTCGTGTGGCACACTGAAAATCACAAAACATAAAATATGTTTCTCTGGATTTGTGCCTGTTGCAAACTTTAATAAGCCATTTGCGAGTTAAATTTGAATAGTTTGGCATGTTGAGTTATCTGATTGCACGTAAACATACCGATTTGAATTCCCAAGTATACCCAGCAAGAAATGAGACCGAGGGGTACCCCCCAACATGTCCAATCCCTATACACATTCAAGACTATTGTTACTTAACACATCCCCCCAAGATGTCTGAAAGGAATTCCCCAGATTCCTGCGAGACAATGACCAACACAAAGCAGGGGGGGCTCTCTCCGTCTCATACCTTGCTGCATATGTTCCCAAGACTAAAGACACTGTTGCTATACCTCGTGATTTGGGGCAAGCTTTTGCACAGCGACCACCATCTCTGGAATGGACTGGTTCCTTTGTGCCCTTATTATCCATTGAGAATAGTGTATTGTTGCAATAACCCTTGTGTATTAAATTAAGCAAAACCTTGCCCCGGATCACGATGTATAGCATGTGGTTTTAGTATGGAGAATTCAAAATATGTTCACCTGAATTTAAAGAACTCAGTGTACCAGATTTTATTCAAATTTAACTCGTAAAACGCTTATTACTTCGTATGCTCAATCGTGCATTTGTGGAAGTGTGAGAAAAAGTCAGATCTGCTTGTGAAAGACGCTCGTGTGTTAGTCCACATTCTAAAACGGTGAAGAGACAAGTGATGCGGGGACAGCGGAGACAAGATAACGCCAGAAAAAAAACTATTTTTACACTAGATTAAAAAAAAAAAGTTCAATAGCCCCTAGGTACACGTGTCAACATTAAAATATACGTGCTCCCCGCACCTTCCATTCAAGATGGAAAAAGAGCAAAGACGAGAGTTCATTGACTAAATCAATCTGAAAAGGAGAAACAAAGTAAAGCATGCAATATTATGAAGCTGGCGAGAGACAAAACTAATTCACACCCAAAGAGAAGGTGAAAAATAAAACAGCATCCTTTTCTTAAATACTATGAACATATCTATATAAACGACTGGTTTTACAGGATCGACTTTAAAAGTACTATATTACGCTATTTTTGATGCCACAAGTAATGCTTCACTTCTCTTATTACAGCCAAATATTGGCAAATTAGGCGGCAAAATGCTTGCACGATGTGCCTCATGAAAACGAGAGCAAACAACATAATCAAACCTTGTACGCCCACAAAACCAACGTCATAAAACGTACACAGATGCTGTCATTTCTGTGTGTGCACGGGCTTAAAAACCTTAACAACAAAAATCTTAAAGCTATGTACAAATGGCCCATTTCTTTAAAACTATATTCATAAATGAAATCTGTCACTGAAATCACTTTTGTGGAATGCTTAGTATCAGCAGCGAACATATATTGGTCCATTTGCTTTCATTTGATCAACTGGCAAGAAATGTCGAACTTCATAAGACGGTCCAATGCTGTAATTTGGCAACCAACGGCTTAGTTTATATTTCAAGGATTCAGTAATTAATCTCCAAATCATCACCGATGTAATTAAATTTAACCCAACACCACAGAAAAATTATATTTGTTTTAAAATGAAAGAGTCATGAAAATGGCTTTTCCGTTAAAGGATTTTTTTTTTCAATTGAATGATGTCTGAGCCGAGGAAGTCAGATATCACTTAAATTTTTTTTGCACTGAAAAAAAATGAGTCAAATAAAAGAACGTCCTTTGTCACATATCATCTGGGCAAGTATAAGCAAACAATTATCCGACAGCCGGAATTAGGAGCCATTACTGTGGCAGCACCACGCTCGTGAAAAGGTGGTGCACGCGCGTTACAAGCCTCTTCGACGAACAGAATGCTGTGATGTTCTACAATGCACATGTGCCTCGAGTCTAAGAGCGCGTGCGCGACAGTGATGTCACAGCAGTAATGCCGACGACTCGGGTCAGTCGGGACCTCTCCAAAACTACATTGCTGTCACGCACTGTCGGTATCAGACAGCAAACAACGTAAGGCCTTTACGGGCAACACATGTACCGCGGCTTGTGCCCCGTACACTGCTTCAGCTAATTACCATTTAATGCATTCTGAACACATTCACGCTCAGAAACTCAGTTTTCTATGAAAACCCCGGGCAGCATCTGCCTTCTGAACACCACAGAACCCGCGGAAAGTGTTACAGCTTCATTTTTTTCCCATGGGTTAAGGGTGCAAGGAAGTTTGGGAAATCAAGACGACTAAATCTTCAATAGATTAGAATGTACTGAAAGTATCCTGGAAGTAGGAGCGGGAAGGGAAATTAAAGTCCCTCCTATCTGTCCTATTATGCCCCTCCCCCCATTTTAATCTATCTCTTGCATTATTCAATTACTTTGGATACAAAGTAAGTACACATTCTCCAAGCAAACTGCACAATCGGTTATACCTCGTTACGCAAACACACACAAGTGAGACACTGATGGGTTCTGCAAGGGCAAGGACTCTTGCAACCACTGAAGTCACTACTCACTTTACACCCCAACAGTTTGTAACAACTAACGACAGTCATGACCACAAAGTCCACAATGTCATGGGCTATAAATGCTGTGACAGTAGAAATGGAGGTAGCACACATCTGCTAATACTGAACGAAACTGTGTCTAAAATTCATCTCAAACATAAACCTATATTTTCAAGAATACATCAGTTTACTATTTACAAAGGAAACACTTTTAAACCACACTTCATTATAAAGTACTTGCATTTACATTTTTGTTCAAAATCTGCTAGCTTTGCACGGACGATTTTTGATACATGTATGCATTTCAATCAGCTTTGTAAATGTATGCATTTCAATCAATTCTATAAATGTAAAAGATCTTAGTAAATCATATGATTACAATACTTTCTAAATCGCAGGAGCGATACTATCAGAAATCATACCAAGATAATAAAACTCATTTCTTTTTACATCAAGGTGATCTTTTTCTATGTTCAGAAACCGGCAATGGCAAGAGAAAGTGCTCACATTTGTATTTACAGTGACAATTCTGGAAGGTTAGCACTGTAAATGTACTTGTTCCCATCTACAGCACCCTGCAACTTATTGATAGCAACCTCGACAGCAACACCAAAGACATAGGCAAGACGGCCATTGTCTTGAGGGTGCATGGTTTTCATACCATTAGGCTGCATCTGACGGGAAGCCACTGGGTAGGAACTAGGCTGCAGGGAGTTGATCGGGCATGGCCTCATAATCTCACAAGCGAGGAGAAAATGAATGGGTCATTAGGCTCAAGGCTCGGGAACACGGCAGCATAGGCTAATAAGGCAAATCATGCATCTCACCTTCAAGAATTTACCGGAAATTGGGCAGTTTTTATGAGCGGTGTAAGGTTTTACTCTCGGAGGTTTCTCTGGGGCTAAGTCTTCCTGTGGGAATGACCATATGCCCAAGAATTCTTGCCGCAAACATTTCTAAATCCTACGCATCCGATCAACAGCACCTCCTTGATACGAAATCTACCACCATGCAACACCATGTGATTTACTTGAACGATGCTGGACCCTGCATTCTTTGTAAAACCTGGCATTGCAGTTTCAAGGACTTGGGTAAAAGAGCCTGAGATTTAGCATGGAAAAGATTTTTAAAAATTCCTTACTTCTTGGAATGAGGAGTACAGATTGCTATTTTGTTCTGATGAGGTATTTCTGGCATTTCTCAAGGTATGTGTAAAATTTGGGTACAGTTGCATCATCTGGTATAATACATTAAGAAATCACAGGATTTCAAATTTGTTGCTAAATCGTGATTGACGATTTTGGTCTCCCGCTTGCGGTCACTGACCCGTTTTCCTTGGTGGCTGAGAAAGGCCGCTGGTCCACGCTGATCATCTTCTGTCTGGGAGTGGTGCGTCGACGGCGGGCTGATTTGGCCCTGGGGGCAGAGCCATTCAGCTGCGAGGGGAGGAAGGCAGATGAGGAGTTGGTGGAGATGGAGGCATTGCGAGACAATGATGCGGTGGGGTTAGAGTCGGCCCGCCTGAGGGGGGTCGCCTGGTGAGGGGGTAAGCTGCTGACTGTGCAGGAAGAGACTGGGAGGGGAAGCATTCAAAAGTGATTTACATCACTGTAATGTACATAGGAAAGTCACTCGATAGGCTATGAATATGCCCATGCCGATCAAATCACAATTGGCATGTCCTCCACTTCCATCCTACAAATATCTAGAACTGATGGAGCCCTGCTACGATGCCCTACTCTGAGCAGGTTGGCCAGCCAGCTTATGTTTCTGATTCATTTGAATTGGGCTTTCACATTCCTATGTACTTGCATTGCTTTTTGACATTGCAGGTTCTTTTTTCCACGTTACAATGGCTTCTCAACTACCTGTGGGTACGGTCGTAACTTGCATGAACATTTACTTCAACAGTCATGGCATTACCCTTCCCACCATAAAAATGAATGCGAGACATGATGAAGCTTTAATTTGAATGTTGCTCACAGAGAGATATTGCAGAGTTTGGAATGCTTTAGAATTTGAAGACAGAGTGGTTTTTGTTATCGTCCACGTCTGTTGGCATACACGTATTGGTCTGCAGACTGAAGTCCAGTTTTTACTCACAGAAGTTGTTCATTTTACCTGTACGAAAAATCCTCCTGCTGGGATTAATATAGCAGGCTCTCCCAATTTCCAGGATTTATGTATTTGAAGTCCCTCCAGTTGTTGGGCAGTTAAACAGTACACCTGCCTTTAATATCACGTTTTATTCCTTTTTTTGTTGGATGGGTTCGCTTTCAAGGTAATCGTGAAAAGAAGTGCTCCAACTTATAGTCTTGTGTGGTAAAGCACTGTCAATAAGATTGACTATTGGGACAAAAGAGACTTCACTCATAAATACAGGCGATTCATTGGCCAATCACAATGCGTGTAATGTGTCGACCCAATGCGCCTTTGGAAAGGTTCGAAAGATTTTGCATGCTGTGATTGGCCAATGCGTTGCAAACTCTTGGAGGTGCACTATTGTAAATTGTCCGTATTGTTTGTGAGATCACCAACCAAATGAGTTACTTTCACACATCACTTGAATGTACTTTAGGTGTTAAAACTGTTGTTAAGCATTATGGTAAACGTCAACTACTAAGTAAATACACTGTTTATGTCCTGGCAAAACTATTGTGAACGGAAGAAAGGCCTATTGCCCCAGGTGACCAAATTATGATGGGTTTAATGCTTCTCCTAGATAATGAGGCCTTGCGAATGCTGGTCAGTACCTGATGTTGACCGGGAAAGAAGCTTTGGTGAGTTTGATCGAGGCGAGGACACTCGGGATGGTTTGACGACTGTGTCCAGTGTTTCGTCCATCATTGTGGCAAAGGCGTTCTTGTTGCAGGCTGCAAAGCAGCCCTGCCAGGCCAAGTACCCTGCAGAAGGTAAACACAAACTCAAGTCTTTTAGTCTACGTGAACACTGAAAGAGCTGCGAGGTGGAAAACTTTGTGAAACTGGTCCCATCAGTGAAGGTCTTAAGTTGAGGAAGACTTGACGGTTAGCCCAGTGGAGAGCCATTCATTCAGAAAGACTGTGCTAGCTCATTAAAGGTACACCTCTTTTCCCAAATTGTGTAACCTCAAGAAGAACCAATGAGCTGCACATGTTGCTCTGCTCTCTGCACTAAATGTCCAGTCTACATAAGGCTTATACAGGGTCTTGGAAGGTCACTGAAAGGTGGAGACTGGAATGACAGCAGGATGCTATCTGCTGATATTGTCCTGCATCTACACTTCTCTAAACAGTGAGCTGAACAATTATTCTAAAAACTGTACAAACAGTTTTGTCATAAAAACCACAATCTCTGCAGATTGCCAAGAAAATTAATACACAACTCCAAACTCTGAACCACTTGACTCTCAAAGACAATCTGTCTTCACAAGAAGCTCAAAAATTAATCTCCACTTGTTCAGGAATTCCTGCCTGGGAGTTTTTAAATGGGCATTCACTCTCCTGGGTGGAAAAGTTACACGAATACCAGACAATGATGGTTCAATCAAATTACACATAATCAGGCTTAGCTGAGCTTCACAATTGGACAACTCAGGAAGACAGATTGTTCTTAATAGATGCGCTCAATTCAAACAGGCACAAGACAAGCTTGAATTCCAGTCCAAATCTTAATTGACAGGCTGGGAGGGGGAACGAAATGAGAATCACTTTTGGGAAGGTATTTTTGCCGGTACCTTCAGGGTGGAGAATGACTAACATTGGCGTTGCTAGGATACCAAACAGCTCTGCAACACTGACAACAGAAGACGATGACACGCCAAGTGTTCCCTTCTCATTACCGGACAAGGCCTCTCCAACATGTCCTGGATATCACAAAACAAAAATGTGAAGTCATTCCATTTCTGTTTACCTTACGACTTCTTGAAATTTGAGGGCAATTCTTTCTAATCTCAAGTGACAAGGGAAAATTGTAAGCACATCACCTCCAGCTTGAATTTCTTTCCCCCTGCTAAATACTTCATTCCTCTTTTTTTGATACCAGCCGTTTTGGTAGGAAATAATGCTTGCCTTTTCACGGATGTTATGTCGAGGCAAATTAAACAATTACTGTTTTCACGGCATGCAGGGGTTTCCGAAACATGGCTTCAAAAATCATCAGATGAGGATTTCACAATGGTGCTCCAGGCAAACCAGTCGTAGCACAACAACATTTTGATTCCCTGGAGTCTGAAATCAAGGTGGCCACACTCTGGGTCTCTGAATGGCCTCCTTACACGAATGGAGTGCACATGACTTTTCAAGGGATTGCGCACAAATCTACAGCATCTTTTCACGAGAAGAATGCATGTAGCGGTGGGTGCATGACATGAAAGGCACTCCGGTATTCTCTGTTAACGTTGACCCCAACTCCCTAGGGTGTGTCCAAAATCATAATGGAATTGGAGAATTTATTCCTGTTAGGGTTAATGGCTTAATTCTATTTATTGCAAAGGATATAGTTAGCTCTAAAATAATTAACTCACAAATGTTTCTTAAATTGATGAGAAAATTCGGAATGACTGCATATTTCAAGTGCTTGATCCGCGACGCATGATAATACAGTGTCTTGCCAAGTGAGCTGATGTCCCAGTTTCTGCATTAACACATTCCGAAATGCTACATGAGATTTCTAGACTCAATGACTCCTAACGAGCCCTACCTCTGTCGGTGCTGGCTGAGCTGGCCCGACTGCCAGGCATCAGGCCTATGTCGCCGGTGCCACAGCTACAGCTGTGACGGATCAAAGCGTCGTCCTTCCAGCCTCGCCTGATGATCAGCTGCGCGAGCGTCTCCAAATGGGCGGAACTTGAGGACTCCGTGCTGCTACAGCAGCATGTCAGGCATATGACCTGATGATGGGTGAACAAAACTATGTGACCAACCCATCTATTTTGATCAGTCTTTTCATCATTTTAGTTTTGGCCATGCTGTGCTGGTCATGTCTTGATATCGCTCTTCCCCTTTTAGCCACCCAAGAAATCAGTACTGACTCTCATTTACTCTCTTTTTTTTTTACTTATTGGAGAATCAACAATCAACTCATTGGGAAATCAACAATCAACTCATTGGGAAATCAACAATCAACTCATTGGGAAATCAACAATCAACTCATTGGGAAATCAACAATCAACTCTTCATGGTGACAGACAACTAAGGTGGAAAGCTTGCAGTAGCACCATGCAAGGATACGATCTCTTTTGTGAGTCTGTATGGTTCTGAAACCATATGGTTCTTTTCAGAACCATACAGACTCACAAGAGATCGTATCCTCGCATGGTGCTACCACAAGCTTTCCACCTTAACAATAAACTCATTGGGAAATCAACTCATTGGGAAATCAGCAATCAACTCATTGGGAAATCAACAATCAACTCATTGGGAAATCAGCAATCAACTCATTGGGAAATCAACAATCAACTCATTGGGAAACCAACAATCGTCTCATTGGGAAATCAGCAATCAACTCATTGGGAAATCAAGAAAGTCCTTCAAACATCAAATAAGTAAACTGAAACAAACAACAGCACACCTTTCCAACTCTGCTCCTTGCATAGTCCACAAAGTAATCCATCACTTTCTGTGAAGCGAGACACCTAGAGAAAAGTATTATCAGCACACCTTTTAGTCAAATACTGCTTGCCTTTGTGGTAATCAACATGATAGGGACTAAAAGATTGAATAGGAAACACAGGGGGAAATAGTGCACCGATTTTTTGCAAACTAAAATCAAGGTGATATTGACCTGTTCTACTGGAGCACCTTTCAGATTTTGACACAATATATTTACGGTGCTTCTCTTGATGTGTATTCAAGCTCTGTGTACTGACCAGTGTGTCCAGAATAGGAGCATAGTCGGGCAGCGGTTGGTCAGCTTGGTGGGCACCAGCAGGTGCGGGGCCTGGTCAGAGACATCTAGCACGGTGACCGAGGCCGGCGGGATACGCCGGCTGGCAGGGTCCAGCTGCTGGTGGAGAGCAGCCAGGGTGGAGGAGGGGGAGCCGGGCGAGGCCTCCAGGGCCAGGGTTTGCTGGTAGCTGCAGCAGCCTTCCTGGGGGTGCCTGCCGAGGAAGGGAAAGGCAGGACCTCAGTCCAAGGGAGGATAATGACAGGGTTCCTGACAGAAAATCTGATCTGAAAGCCAAATTCCATGACTTTTCCAGGGCTGAAATATGGCAATTACCCGAGTTTTATTGCCACTTCAACAGAAACGTTGTTTGGCATCATGCACAGGCAGACTGCCATGGCCACTATGACAGACTAGCAACGATAGCCTGTAAATTTATCATTATTCTGTTATCACATTCAAAGGAGCCCGTCCAAAATCATCCTTGCATGATCTTGACTTCCAAGACTCTTCTATGATCTTTGTCCTCTAACATCAGGATTTTGAGTCACTCTATTTTCCCCAAGTTTCTGTGACTTTCCAGTACATTTTTCTTGAAAGGATTTTCCACGACCCTTGGAAGGCTGCCCATGTAGGCTTAGCCCCAACACTTCCCTAGGATCTGCTAGTACATGTACATGCAGCAGCCTTCCTTGGAATGTATACAGGATAGAGGATGAAGGAGCTCCAACCAAGAATGCATTGCGGTGCTGACATCCGAGTGGCTTTGGTCCACAAACTCCACTGTATCTTTGTTTTTCTGGTTTATCATCTTCATGCACTTATAGAGAATACCACATATGTGAAACTGTGAAGCGATTTCTTGCACGAATTTCAACACCAATTTTGTTGCATTCAAAGTTCATTAACCCCTTGACACCGAGACTTTTTCTGAAAGCCGACTCCGAGAATTCCAGCCTTGTTTGGCCACAAAGGCCACCTGCCAAACCGCAAATTCTTACGGCAGCTCTTACCGCTTCCCGGCGTGAAGGGGTTAAATTTGGTTGTTAGACAGTAAAAACCCCACGTTAAGAGTAAAAACAAAATGCGCAAGCACACTGTGCAACTATGTTCAACCCAATCGGAGAACCAGTTAGAATGTCTGTGGAAAAGACCCTCAATTAGAACCTTCATTCTTGTAGGCAATGGTTTCTTCACCGATCTTTACTATTAAGCCGTATAACACTGTGACAATAAAACTCTTTCATCTTCGGCAACAGCTGCTGTTGGAAACACTTCCAAATCCCATTCATCTCCCTTACCTGCTGTCGTTACGATGTACTGAGTGTAAGCAGTAACACGTGAATGGAAGGAAAGGACTAGTGTCTATGACGGTAACATCCGACGGCTCGCTGTTCCCAACTGGGTGGTCCGTGGCAGCAACCATACTGATTTTATGCAGACCATCGTACGCGCTCAACTGCAAACAACAGACACAGTACAATTCTCTAGTTGAATGGGCAGACGATGAACTCATGAGTCTCATTACATACAGACATAATTCTTGAATCCCATTCCAAATTTCTCTTTCAATCGCCGCACATCTGTGAGAAGAGACCCTTGTTGCACAGCAATTCACTGTTCAAAGAATCAAATCTAATTTTAACGTGTGAGCTAAATTCCATGATCACTAATTCACAAGCAGGATTCCTGAGACACTCAGTGACTGTGGTTGGGTTATTGAAACATACTGTGACAGTGGGGAACAGTACAACGAAACAAAAGGTAAGTGTTGGACTGTTATCCACAATGAGTTGCTCATAGGGGTGAGATTGGGGAGAGATGAACAATGCCTGAAACATCTAGCACAGGCATTGTAACGATGATTAAAGGTTTTAGGGCTTGAGCTAACACGGCACGAGCTCTGGCTATGATTATGCCAGTCTCACACTTGGTTTTCTCGTACAAAAATGCAGAAAAGTAGCAAAATGCTGGTGATTCAACATTTCAAAATCCATCTATTTTGGGTCAAATCCTGGAATCTAGGAAAATCTTTAGAAGTGCCACCCCTGCTGGCCGGAGTCCAGAGCCCGGACTCCCTGCTCACCTGCAGACAGATACGATCCATGTGGGAGTGCAGGAGGTGTCCGCTCTGTTTGTCGTTGACGAGAACCTTGAAGCCGGACAGATTCACGTCTTTGCTCTCTCGGACTGGGTCCCACTCCACATCCACAGCCACGGTGCCTGCAGGATTAGGCACACATCATTTTCCTTCTTAAAGGAGAAGTTTGAAAACTTGAAATACTCAGAACTCTCCGTCAAGAACACAGTAACAACATACAAACAGGAAGAACAGGCTCCTGACAGGTGTAAGCCTTGAGGTCAGCCTTTGTCATCAGACATCATCACAGCATTTCCTTACACCTACAAGGACCCTGTGAGTAAGATTCTTTTTCACATGAGATGGACTCTCACTACTTGTTGCCCACAGTACTATAGCTGACCCATCTTCCAAACGAACTTCCATAGCAACCACGTTCTGAAAGTAAGCTACTATACGAATACTTTTCACCACTAAAACAGGGAAGTGTGCTTTTGGATGAATAGTTGGATAACTCTTAAAATTTGGTAATTCTATGCATGAAGTGTTTATAAAAATGGAATGCTCATGAGTTTATCCTAAGTGACTTGTTTTATTACACTGACCTTTTAACTGTGTATGTGTACATGTATGTATGGATTTTGGACTCAAAAATGTTTGACCTACTATATGTCTCCTGTATGCATTAATTCAGCAGGTAAATACTTTTAAGAAACCAACAGTGTGTTTTCATTCGGTGTCCAAGCCTTTCACAGATCATCACTGTTCAGAGTTCAGGTTGTGCTGCATTTTTGGAAGTAACTGAGAATATTCTACATTCGGAAATGCACTCTAATCCACAACTGCGTGTTAATTCTAAAAACTCACATTTTTCATGAACAGCTTCCTTTCAAATTGCTAATACTAGGTTTGTGCGCAATACGGTTTGTTCATTTTCAAAGAAGCTTCAGGAATGCAAGCGCGACAACTGTGACAACGACTGGAATGACTTCAGTGAGAGGGTTTCAATACCTGTGTAGGGGATAAGCGTTTCCAAGACTTGGAACAGCTGGTCTTCCATCTCAGCCAGAGCTGACAAAGCATCGGAAATCTGAAGAAAGAGGAGATGGAAAGACACAGAATGCAACCTTACTTTCGCTTTTAACATGTGAAGCAAGAAAAATCAAGTTTATAATCTCGCATTTCTTAGGTCAATACATTCCATGTGTCAAACAAAATAACTGACAATACATGAGCATCATGTGAGATAATGAGCCAAAAAATTCTCTCGAACCTTTGGATAACTTCAGCTCAGCTACACTAAACACGAGCAACCATTAGCAAGTAAATAAACTATATTTCCTTGGCCACGTGGACATGTAGTCACATCTTTTCAGTCTCATGTGCATCCTTTACAGAAAATTACGGAGTAAGAACTATCAGCCGATGGCCTGCACAGTTGAGTAATAAAAGGACACAGACACTTTCATTATGGGAGAAATTTGCATTGAAAGGTCGACCACTATATACCCCCATCAATGGGAAGCACTTTATGAAGCGCAGAAACTTAGCAAAGGTCTTACTTCTGCCGAGAAATCTTCATTTTCCACTGCTCCTGGTGGCTGGCCGGGGTTACTTCCCTGTTGGTAGCTGATCAATTCTTGGAGAAGCCTGGGTGTCAAAAAGGACGTAGTCTTAGTTCAAACTTATCAAAAGTCATTTAAAGGCACAATTCAGAGTATTGTTTTTCAACCAGCTATGTGTACAGCAAATGGTTGATATCTAGGCACCGAATTTTATCACCATGTATCACCGTACCACTGTTTGTTTTTGTGTGTTTTCTTAGCAGTGTTGTTGGTTAACTTCTCGGGACAATCGTAAGACAACACGAGACCTCCAGTCTGAATTTAAGTCACAGCCTATTTCAAAAAGGCTGCAACATACGCATTACTTTGTCACTGTTTGCACCATCACTTGAGGAGGTTTTTGTGACAGGTCATGTGAATGATCTTGCATCTGGTCTGATGACATCTTGACTACAGCGCCGGCAACTGGATGCGACCGATTTTAAATTGGAAATTTTTTACTGAGAAGAAAGATGAGTTTATTTTTTTATTAAGATGCATACTGGTACTCAGTGCATTTACTCCGTACACGTGGTACTGAGTGAACATGTAAACCAAAAAATGAGTGCAACATGTAGAAAGGAGACCTTTTAAAAACTTCCCGCAACACACCTGTGTCTCATATTGACCAGCTGACAGGCTTCCATTTCCAGGGCTCGTCGCTCTTCCAAACCTCTCACCGTTACCCTGACCTTAGGCGGTGCTGGCCGGCGGGCCACGTACTGCTTGTTAAGGGGCCGCGACCGGACCGCCTTTCCCACCCCGCTCACCTGGGTGTCCAGCAGGAAGGTGTAGGCGGCATGGGGGGAGAGGTGGGGGAATTCAGCCCAGCGCTGGTCCAGTGGGAGGGGGCCGAGGGTCTTGAGGGGCTGGCGTTGTTTGGGGGGCAGGGCCTTGTGGCCCGTGCCTGATTCCTCCATGCACATTACCTGGACAAGAGAGTGAGAGCAGAGTATTTTTTTTTATCAGTGGTGACTGTAGTTGAACGCTCATGACGAAAAAATGTGTCGATGAATTTGATTCCAGTTCACACATGGGTCTTTCTGTGAGGTTAATAGCTGGGCTACATTTTGTGACCTATGGACACATTGAGGAGATGAGGAACAAGAAGTATTTCGGAGTAATTGAATTGCTATTATTTGCAAGCATGATGTCACCTTATCAAATTTAAATGTGTAAAAAAGGGCTCCCTTCAATCAACAGTTGCACCACAAAGTGATGAAGACAGTTTTGCTCTACAAGGAAGTGGTAGCTATGTAGTGTATAGACTAATTTGGCAACCAGAATGAGAAGCCGTTACTGCCGCGGTAGCTCTACCCTCCTGGACAGGTGGTCCATGTACATGTACATCACATGCCTCTTTGACTATTACAATGTTGAGGCCTGCCAACTGCACGCACACATCGAGTTGAAGCATGCGCGCTTGAGTTGCATGTCACTGCAGTTAGGGTGTTTACTTCCATTTTGTTTATAGACTTGCTTGACCAACATGCCGACCGGAACAAAGAAATCATTACTGCGGTGGTATGCATGGCCACATCATGATGCTTCTCTGACCATTAGACCAATCCGACTAGATGCCCTAACTGTGGTGGCACTACATTCACATGCACAGTCTTCAGCTTGACGCGTGCAGCCAATAAAACAAACATGCAAAATACCTCTGAAAGGATTCAAATAAAAATACATTCATCTAAATACCTTTATCTTAACCCTAACCCCCCCCAAGGGTTGCTGGCCCTAACTTTCCCTATTCACACAAAGTTAAACACTCATATGGGACTTTGTGCACAGAGGCTGTTGGACTTTTCTGAGGAATGCCAAACCCAATGCAAAAGCAAGCTGTTATGGGCCTACCAGACCTATCCCCACAGATTTAAACACTTTACCACTGTTTAATTCTGTGTGGTTGGGGAAGGTTGGGTTAAAAAGGATTAAGATAAAGGGCCTTTGGCAACAACCTCCTGGCCATTGAGACACTGTATTATAAAAAATATGGCATTATGGAAACATGTACATGTACGTTTGTTGGCTGATTATAATTAATTGTACTTTATCCAACTGAAAACATATTGAGTGATCAGATAGGGAATTCTCCGTCAGCCATTTTGGAATGACTGACCTTGTAGTGTTCGACTTTGGCCCCGCCAGTGACTTTAGGCTCTGGCCATGAAACTCTGATGGCATTGAGCTTGGTCGTGGCTGCTCGGTGTAAGGCAGGAGGTAGGATCCCAGGCCAGGTCACCAAGGCTGGCTCTGAGGCTTGGCTATGGAGGTGTGGAATGGTACACAAGGCCTGGAAAGGGAATGTAAGAAAACAGAGTTATAACTACTTGAGAGTTTTCCCATAATTCCTAGACTCTTTCAGGAAATCAGTAAACAAACCAGGACGCTTGAGAGAAAGACTTTTTGGTGGTAATACATACAGGTTACACATTCTGTTTAACCCATTCTCTAAACTTGCTTTTATCTCTGCCTTGGCTTATGTGATCCAGCTGGGTCTATGTGTGTAACCTAAGTATTCAAGGTCAATGTCTCAAGGGAACATCAGCGAGTGAAATGTAAAGCAAAGATGGAAGTCTTTTCTTTTGGTCCATCAAACTTTTACAGGCCTGTGAATATGCTTCTAAGACCCAAAGTAAGGCCACAGCTGCAAACAAAGCCAGGCTTTGCAGAAGAGCTAAATACCTGGCTACCAGCAAAAAGTGCTGCATGCTGTGTGACACTGTGTGATAAAGCTAGTTCTTAGATGTAAATTACTAGGCAATATTTTTTCCGCTCAGCATCTTGGTCAAAGTTGGCCTCGGTGAGCCACACCCTGTCCAAGGCAACACGCACCTGCATGGTGAACCTGTACTCCTTGCACATCTTGCCAGCCGTAAACAGGTACGTGGATGCCCCAGCCGGTAGCCTGTCATGATCTTTGCCATTCAGTCGCAGCTGGTAACCGGCCAAGTGGGCATTGCCAAACTGTGTGGGCTTGTCCCACTCCAAGATGCAGCCGCTGTAGGTGCAGGACCTGAACATGTATGCAGGATGAAAATTAAAATGCCAATGCCTACCAACGAGTTAGTAGGCTTGGATGGTATTTCAGTATCACCAAATAATGGCAGTTTTTCAATACCGAAAAATACTAACTGATGATCCCCAAATACCAAAATACCGGCAAGTACGTACAGAATTTCGATACCATGGTATTCTTGCTAATTTGCTTGGAAATGAAAGGAAAACCACATTGTCTTATTTCACTTTATCTTTTGTGGCACAAGTCATCCAGTGTCATGTCTGCATTGTCAAGTAGACCGGGTTACATGAAACTTAAACAACCGCCAACCCACCAACCCAAAAGCCTTTGAAGTTTTCTCATCCCCTCTGTCATTGTGTTTGTGGTTTTGGTGTACATGAAGCTTTAAAGGTCTGACAGGAAGTCAGACGTAGTTGCTGGCATTCCCAGTGAATGTCGCCGCTTATCGCCCTTGCTTTTTGATGACGCACACTTTAATAATACCCTACTTCAGAGAGTTAACGCAGTATTTCCTGTCAAGTCTGTGTGCACACAGCAACTGTGTGCCACAGCCAGGCATTGTAGCAAATTATCAATCACTGTTTGAGAGTTTCAGAACAGCATTGATTTGGACAAATCTTGAACAAATGGCCACTAGAGTCAGCATTAAATCTGACTTTGTGAAGGACTGCGATTGTGGCATCTTCACATTCTCGAAAGTCAGCATTTTAAGCTGAAAATCACACCGCATGTGGGATGAGTTGATTTTGGTTGAATGACACATCAGAATTCCCACGAAAATCTGAAAATCAAATTCCATGCCTTTTCCAGCACTTTCACGGACTAAGATATGAATTTCCATGACGTAATGCCTGCAGAGAAAATTGGTTCAATAGTATAAATGGGACAAATGCCACTGATAGGATATAGCCTGTTCATTTCTCATTATTCCAAAAAATATTAACCTTGCTTGATATTGATTTCTATGGATAGCTTTTCTACAACTTACTTCCACCGACGGCAGGTTTCCTATTTTTCCCCAGTAGTCTATGACTTTTCCATAACTTTCCAGGACAACTGTTTTTATCAGGATTTTGAACGACTGTAGAAACTCTGGATAATAGCCATCTGCAACCGGTTCACAGTGACCAGCACTGACCTTATCCTGAGATGCGGAGCAGACAGAGGGGCAGTCGTCTGGATGGTGACCAGTCGCGACCTGTGCAGCACCCTGTCAGCCTTGTCCATCGCCGCCACGGCCACAAAGTGATTGGTGCCCGGCATGCATCCCCTGACGGTGTACTGGGTGGCGGTAGGTTTCAGCACAACCTCCAGCTCCTGCAGTTGCCAAAAGGACAAGCCGCATTAGCCCTAAGAAGAACTTCATTCTTTATCTGCAAATTTTCATCTTTTGCAGGAAACTGAGGTTGTGCTTACGTACAAAAAGTGCATTTTTCAATACAAAAAGTTACTGAGGAAACTAAATTACATGTCATTGTCACTTCTGGTTGATTTTGTGGTGAATGAAACCTATATAGTAAATTATTGCCATCTCTTATTTGGCATGAAATTAGTGAGAAAGGCATATGCCACACAAAATACATAAGACCAGCAGTTGATTTCACAAAACTTGACATAACTTTGAACCATACGTAAGCCCCGCACCATCTATTTGTGCAGTAGCTGCACAATATAAAGTTTGATTTCACAATGTTGCTTAGCTGTACAATGTTTTAATTAGATAAATTTCTTGGACAAGGACGATCATAGCTTTTATGACGGCTGTTTTTTGCAATATTCATGCAGTCATCAAACAGTCGTCGAATTACCTCTGCCCGCCATTTTGGATTTTTTTTTGTCTTTTCTTCGTTGGAACTGGACAGAAACTCTTGAAGTTCTTTCACAGCCAAGCAATTTTTTCATAATCTTTGTTTGGGATGCCAGTGGGTTCTCAGTCCCGGGCAAGAAACTTTTGAAAGTGAATAAAGCAGGCATAAAAGTACTGGAAAATACAGGTAAAATGCATGCGCATGGGATCTTTTGTAAGTTTCAGGTGTGGCATTACAGTTCCCGCATTAAAAATATTATTGTTCCAGCCCACAAATGCAGAAGGCCAAAGGCTTTTCCCAATGGCCGGAAGTTTGGTATCCCTGATTTCATTTTTAACAGCACACTCTCAATGTACTGGTTGCTGAGGAAAAAATACCACAATTCTAACCTTGGGTTTTGCCACACTGCTCCACATAACTTTGATCCGATCCACCAGCTCCTGGCTCTCCACTAGAGACAGAAGGCCAAAAAAGGAAGCAATTAGACGTCAGTCACAACAAATGACTGAACTTTAGAAATCAAAAACAAAAGCAACAAAACACAAATAAAGGTAATTGCACATGTAAGCCCCAAAGAGGCTGTTTTTTAGCATTCTCCCATCATCTTGGCGGTTCTTTAGGATCTTTAGGAATCGTTAATATATTCATTATGAGTACATCTGTGAGGTTCCAAGGTAATACCAGAGGGTTTTGTTCTTATGGTCAATTATCGTGCACTCCCTCATGCATCTCACCCCATTTGGCCAAGGGCTAAAATAAGGTCAAAGGAGACTGATTCCACAATGCACAACAGCCCTTTCACTTTCTGTAACTTGAAAGTCAACAGAGCTATGGTAGTTTAAATCACAGTTCAAAAAATTTTGTCCCATTCAAATAACAACTGAAAGGATCACTGTTTTTTCCCACTCCATGTAAGGGGTTTGGCATGGACGAAGACAAAGCCAAGTCCAGATCCTAATTTGTTGGGGGCAAACAAGGAAGCAGCATCCCCAGTGCACTTTTGCATTTAACTTATCTCACCAGTCAGAATTAAGCAGCTGCTCAGAAACAATTTCATGAACAAATTGGCTGTGTCCATACAAAACCTCCATTTACCACACTTAATATCGTTACTCTGATTGATTAAAAGAAAAATCCTCATCAGTTTTCTTTTTGGGAGACCATGGCCTCTGTTTGCCCCCCTGGATAAGGATGTTAAATTGATTGAAATATAAAACATCCGCATGTGATCAGAGCAAGTTAAGGAAATCAGCGAGGAATTAGAGACAAATAATGAAATGGACAGAAAGATGGGTGAATAGACAAAAAGAGCCTTACATCCAATCAATGGCAGTCTCCACTCCAGCACGATGCTGGTCTCTGTCAGATCCAGCACACCGATGGAGATATCCTCCGGGCAGAGCAGTCCCTTGCCGCGGCCGTCCCCTTGCCCAGAATACCTGTCCCTCTGTACGGTGCCTGCTGCTGCTGGGGGCTGCGTGGGGCGGGTCTCAGGAGACCAGCAGGTGATGCGGACCTCCTCCGACAGGTCGGAATCCCGGTAGCTGGGGTCGGCACTGAGGGCTACGATGCTCATGTGGTAGGTCCTGATAAAAAACAAAACACCAACAGATCAAATTCAGTCACTGAAGTGAAAAGGACGTTCTGTGCAACGTTGAAATGTGTGCAGACAACGTACAGAGGTTGTTTCCAGCTCACGTGGATGTGAATGTCGAGTGAGTATGATGTCATGAGACATTCCAATCACTGTATGAGTATGGGCCACGATGCCACATATTCGCATCTGCAGTCACTTCCATGTCAACATGTGAATCAGCCTCGTTGGGTTAATTGGGGGTAACTGAAAGCACAACTTTCTGAACTATGGTGAAATGACCATTACTAGAAACACTTTAAATTCCCAAAAAAATTGGGGGGAAAAGGGGCACAACCGACCTGTTTGGGCGGCAAGGGATGGCAGCTTTGTAGTGGGATGAACTTAACTCCTGGCCAACTTTCTTGTCATTCATGTAAACCTGACAGAAGGAGAAATAGTATTGAATTTCATACTTCATTTGATTTAATAAAAGACAACAGCAGCTTAATAAGTGAAAGGTTATAAAAAATTGATCTGTGTTACAAGAAACTTTGGTTTTTTTGTGTTAATACTACATTACTATTAAAGCATTTTGTAGACTGACTGAAAAAAGTACGTATTTCTGATGGTAAACTAGTCTTGATAGCTACATGTAACTTAGCAATTTCCTAAAATGGCATTCACAATTTGCTGTGAAATTTCAATCATCTTCTGACAAGGAACATGCAGAAATTAAAAAGCCATGTTCATTGTGATCCTTTTTTTGATTCTCCACAATTTGCCACAAACAATCCTTCAAAATCTTCTATGTAATATGCATCTGTCACTTTCAGGACCACTTGAGGAATCTGTCCAATATCCGTATCGGTACTGACTTCTGTGCCAACTAGTTATCCTTCAACAGCTGCCCTACCTGATACCCCCTGATGCCAACCCCTCCGTACATCCTTGGCTCGCCCCACTCCAGGATAAACTCCTCCTGCAGGACCGAGGTGCAGCATAGCCTGGGTGGGTCGGGGGGTCCCGGTATGACGCACTGTATGCTGGGCGTGGGCACGCCTTGCCACATGTCGTCGTACTGGGTGGCGTGAATGCTCATTGTGTACACGCACCTAGGACCAACAGGAAGAGGAAGGAATGCTTGATGGAGGACGAAACTCCAACTTGAGATTCTTTGAAACAGTGCTTCATCAAGGTCCTCTATGCTGTTTCTGAGAGAATCTTTGAGAGGCAATTACTTCATGCAGGCTACAAAATTCTTAATACAAAAGTGTTTTGGTTAACTGAGATGGGTATCAACTATCCAGCATGGAAAGTAGCATAGATTTGCACTATATGACGCTTGTTAAGGCTTGGTTAGAGCAAATTTGTGACACTCTCCTGTACGTGAACCCAAACCCTTAAAAATAACAGCCACTCTGCCAAAAAAGCAATCCAGTAATCTACATAGGTTTAAAGAAATACTGGCTAAATCTATGTATGCCACTTAGATGCCTGGGGGAGTGTCAGGTACTCTGCCAAAAAAAGCAATCCAGCAATCTACACAAGTTTATTAAAGAAATACTGGCTAAATCTAGGTGTGCCACTTACATGCCTGTCAGTTATATTTCCATGAACTGATAGGCATGAATTCAAGTCAAATTCAATTACTTATGCAAGTCAAGTCACAAGTCAAAGTCAGAATCAACTCACACGTCCAAATGCACATCACATCTCAAGTCAAATAACAAGTCATATCACCTGTCAAATTATGAGTCAAATCACAAGTCAAAACAGAAGTCAGGTATAAAGACAAATCACAATTCATAAAGATGATAGATCACAAGTCAAAGTAGATATCAAATAGCTAGTCAAAATACATGTCAAATAGTCAAAAGTACAAGTGAGATTTTAAGCCTTGTCACAAGCCAAAACACAGTTCAAAGTACAAGTAAAATCACACTGTTAAAGGTCAAATCACAAGTCAAATCACAAATCAGTTTACAAGTAGAAGGGAATGCAAGTGACACAGGGATGCCTTTATCACAGAACAACTGTACAGCTTGTGACTTGAATCTGACCAACTTCCATCTGCCAAATGAGTTGCAGTGATTTGATTCCAACTCCAACTAAGACAAGCAGACAAACAAGACTTTTTTCAGCAAAAGTGCAGCTAAGCTTCCTGGCATTACTTGCTGTGGTAGACAGGAATGTCGTAGTTGGTGGCAGTATGCGGGAGGGTGGCGACTCGCTCCTCTACATCGGCATCATTCAGCCAGGTGATGTCATATCCCACGATGCCTTGCTCCTCCGCCGTACCACAATCCTGCAACACCCACTCCAAGTGAATATCACCCCGAAGATCACTGGAAAAGAAAGACACTGTGTTTCTGAAAGCGGACAAAGCACCAGATGTGGTCGCTTATAAACAGTTTCCTTTAACAATTGCAAAGTGTCGTCATAGGAAAATACCACTTCATCCTAGCTTTTTGGATGCTGCTGTAACTAAATAATCTGGAATTTTTTTCAGTGCTACTTGAATCACCATGAGTGAGTTAAAATTTCTTTGTAAAAATATTTTGATTTCACTTACTTGTTTTCATCAGAGTCATCATTCTGTCTTTCAGACGAAGGATGAAATTCGGCGCTGAGTTTCACAACATTCCCTATAAAATAGAGAGATTTCATAGCAAGTTTGATGACATTTTGAAAAATCTGAAAAATGCTCAGTATAATTTATCTTGTTTCTCAACATTTGCTCAATGTACGTAATTGTTAAAGGTTAACAGAAATGTAAAACGTTTAGTTCACGTGAAGTATTTCAAAATAACAATACATACGTAACCATATCAAAAACATCATCAATTCAATGTTTACCCCTTTAATCGTGACCCCAAATGAATAAAAAGATCCTGTGTTTCCCCGCCCACAAAAAATCTCCTTTTGGCCATTCGCACCCCCAGGCTGATTTGATGACATAATCAGCAGATCGCCTACACTGTACATGTACATTGCATGATTGCACACAGTACATGCAGTATCGCACGCTTACAATAGATCATGTCACACTGTCTCGGTTCAAGGTAGAAATTAAAAGACAGAGTCCTACCGTGTATTTCTTGAAGTGAGACAGTGTTTGCCTGTGGGCCAAGCTACATTGAACACAACGTGATCATGGGTAAACATTGAATTATGATGTGTTTGAAAAGGTTACATGTACGTATTTATTCTTATTTTGAAATACTTCACGTGAATTAAATGTTTTCACTTTCTGTTATTAACCTTTAATGTTTCCACATTCTTACGTTTCCTTTGTCAAGATTCCTTAAAAACCTATTACAGCATACCTGACTGTTGTTTTGGCAGAGTGACGGTTAGCGGCTCAGAGGTGGCCCGGTCGCACAGACCCTCCAACTCAGCCGAGTCTAGCCAGCTATGGCCCCTTCCACCGATGCTCAGCTTCTTGCTGACATTCTTATCCGTGGTTGTGATGGCTGTCAGGCCAATCTCGTATGTCTTGCCCGGGGAGCAGTTGATGGTATACTGCTGGGTGGTGGGCTTCAGGCGGGCATAAGTAGTGCCATTGATGCTGAGCAAGTAGCCTAGGAGGGTGCGATGGATACAGCCGGAGCAAGAATCGTTCTCTACGAATCAATGAAAGATTACAGGTTTACTGACAAATACAATGATGCGAACCCAAATTTTGTGAAGTGTGGTTATAAAAAAGTTTGCAGCAAAAGTCTTGGGGTGCCTCTGTCAGTCTATCCGCACAGAGGCACAGAAATAGACACCAGCACATCACACCGCATTCAACATTCTTGCAGAGGCCACAAAACATGTTATTTTCCACAACGTATGTATGTTTTAATACAGTTGCATACAAATAAATGAATGCCTGAATCGTTAAATAAAAGTGCAAGCACATGTAATACAGAGACTGGCAAGGTAGACCCATCGATGCACTGATTTGCCAGAGTGCACTTTCATCACACAACACTTGGGAAAAAGTGTACGCTCAACTCCATTAATGTTTGTGAGTGGCATATGCTGGCCTATATAGTGCAGCATATTCTAAGTTTTGCCCTACAAGGAAACCTGTGACAGCACTGCTGTTTGAATAAACTCAGAGATTCCTTTCCTCAATGTGTTGACTGTGCGGACATCGATAAGCTCTAAAAGTAAAGGTTTCCAAATTTTTTTTCCTCCAACAAATTCTTGACGAAGCCTCCCTAACAATGTTTTAGTCTTAATTAGTGTTGGATGGCTGACTTCTATACCTTGGTTTGTAAGTACGGTCACCAACGGTGGCTTCTCCCAATACACATCAACCCATGACAGGCCAAATCCTGTGACCAGCACATACGGAGCAATGCAGGGGGCTGGTATTCTGATGACATATGGTTCTGAGGCAAGTCTGATGAGGTTCTCTTTTGCCTGCAGGCTTTGCTTTCTCCCTTTCTTCTTTGAGCCCTTGAGGTTCTGCTTTCCAGAGTCCAGCTCTGTGATGACTGCTACGACTGTGAAGCAGTACCTCACTCCTTTGTTTAAGCCTGGTATCTCGCACGATGTTGTGCCCTCACCATTTGGAATCTCAATGACTTGGTGAGGGTCGCTGCTCGAGGTCAAAGCCCCGGTGCTCTTCACTTCCGCCCACTGCACCTCGTACTTCTTCAACGTTCTCTGTTCATGCGCTGATGCCCTCCAGTTGAGGGTGACCGTATCCGAGCAATCAAAGGTGCAGCTTAAGTCGCTTGGTGGCGACACCCCGGTCGTGGTGGTGTCCACGCTGACACAAGGCAGCCATATTGAATCCTTGGGCACGAGACTCCAGTCTTCTGGAAGACCCCGCAGTTTTGTTCGTGGACTTTCACTTGGCGAGTTGTCCTTATCAAAAAATTCGTCCGTGATGGTGACGAGGTGCAGCGAGTAGGTTGAGGATTCCTGCAGGTTTTTGATGATTGCCGAGGTAGCATCTGGTAGCAGATCAGCGTGTTGTACAGTTTGTACAGAGTTGTTGCTCTGCATAGTGACGTAAACTCGTAATCCTGTGCAACACGATAATAATACAAATTTGATGTTCACATGTATTTAACCTCTCAAGATGACGAGTTAACTTGAGTCCAAATCTTTTCAAATTTTAAGAGACTAGGTGAGGACATTCAAGAATGCTGTTGTTCCACGAAGGAGGTAGAGGCCAGCCCTTATTGCATTTACATGGGGCTGGATGTCCCTTGGAAGTTTGAGAACAGAGAATAGGCTATTTGGTGCAGCGGCTGATCTTGGAGGATTCAAGCAATGTCCCAGCAAGGGAAACACAGTTAATATAACCAGCGGAGGGCATGGAATGACTGAAAAACTCACCAATGACTTCGGCCCCCTTCTCTGTGGGTGGCTCCCATTTCAGCTGCACGGTGTTGGAGCCTACAGAGGCTACAGTCAGCTGGCTGGGCGGCTCAGGGGGACTGGCTGTGGTGACTGTGATGGACTCTGTCTGGCTCAATACGGGGACCTCATAGCTGGCCGAGTCGGGTCTGCCTTCTGGGATTAAAATAATTCACCAAATGTACTGATGCCATTTATATGTACTTGCTGTAATGTGGTATACCATTTTCAATCACCAACCAAACAAGGAAGAAATCATATGATCAACTAAAGCTTACTTAGGGACCAAAGTTAAAGGCTGTTATTGAAGTGACACCATGCGTCTGTCTAATTTACGTACACATGTACATGTACGGATGTACATTGTAAAACTTTCATGGACTGAGCGATGAAATCCATGCAGGCCATAAACTGTCATATTTCCCTAAACATGTGCAACAGACACAAGACGTTACCTCCACAATATGTGACCCGCTCTGCAAAAAAAGGGTAAAAAGTCGCACAATGAGAAATCACGTAATTACCTGTTCTATTTGGAGAGGGCATGATTTTGTGATTTTTCCTTTAATAACTTCCATAATATTCATATCTTCATAATTTGTGACTACAAACATGGATACTGACAAAAAGAGATGACAACTTCATCATTCAGTAGGAAATCCCATATAGCATTGTGTTTCCAAGTGCTACACTTTATGAGCTTTTTCTTGAAAAGTGCTTTTATTGAATCCGAAATGTGGATATACAAATGTCTATATCCCCAGAATGCAGTGCACTACAGGGATCATTTATATATTAAATTGTAACTTTTGATGTACAGAATCCAGCCATATCAAAAACTCATTACCTAACTCTGGCGACTTATTACCCATTTTTCTAGACCCAGTCACGTATTCTGAATATGGTTGCAGCTTAGTCCATAGGATAAGCGGTCATTTCCCTTTTGGAAATCTGACCAAGTGTCATAATGAAAGTAAGGTGTAATTGACAAAAGATTGACAGATGAAATGGGTTAAAAATATCAGTGAAATTAGACAAATTATTTGTTGCAGGATTTTTTTTTTTACAAGGCATGAGTGTGTCTACTGATGAAATATTTTAATGCATGTGCAAGAAATACCATTAATGTGCACAACATAAATACCACATCACCGTTAGTCTTAAATTGCGATGAAACTGACACGCCTCTCAACGCCGCAGAGTTTGCTGGTGCAAATTTCTCAGTGTAATTGTTTGCACGTGACTGTGTACTCACTGCCTCTGTGCGGCTGTGTGCGCTTTCCTCGAGCCTGAACGGTTATGCAGTACTTGGTGCCCAGGTCCAGACCATCGATCAGCAAGTGATCATCTATATGCAGAAGACAACATTCAGCTCCACTTGTTACTGATACCCCTCTCGAGGTTTAAAATACCCCTTTGGCCGCTGATGGTGGTAGTGATCCCGAGTTTTTCACACCCCTTGTCATTTTTGACACCAAATGCCCCACTTGAAGTCCAATTTGACAATGGGAACTGCTCACCTTTACACGCTATCATTCTCACCTTGTAACATTTTTTGCCATTTGTAATTTGTACAAAAAGAAAGATTTTCTGGAATACTAGACTTTAGGCTATTGAAAAATATGTTCAATCTACATTGCGAATGTGCATTTTTCTAATTTTTTCTTTCTTTTTTTTACTTGCCAAGTGATGAAAAAGATCTGTACTTGACATGCAAAGCTTTGCAACTCTGCATGGATTTAGTGATTTGTGTTCAGGTTAAGAGATTAGAGCATAAGGTGCTCACCAGAGGTCACTTTGCTCTGAGGAGGCTCTCCTGATTTCTTGGACAGCTCCCACCATGTGACAGTGTAGCTTTCAGGTGCTGCACAATGCCTCCGCTGCTTCTTCCCTGGATGTGAAGACAGTGAAAGCTCCATAAAAGCAATCTGAAAAGCTAAGGCTACATAATCTTCGGTTTAGCGGTACGTCTGGGTTTTCACCAGTTGCAAACAGAGGTTATTCACTTGACGGGCAACGGCAGCTCAGGAAGCATTCCATCTACACGGATGTGCATGTATTTTCAAAGCTGTGTATTTCCATTGCTAATTTGAATACGCAAGAATGCCAGAAAGTCTTTAGAGGCGTATGCATTTCTATGCACACTGATGTAACTCGGACACTGACCGTTATGTGACCGAAAAACCTCAACAAGCTGCAGCTCCTGAAACCTGTTTGGAGAATGGCCCTTCACTCAGTACAATGCTTAGAGCTGTATGGGGCCGGAAAGTGGTTTCAGATGGAGGTATGAGTGATGCATTCACTTTAACACAGCACCATGTCATCCCATGACATGCCAAGTGAGGACAACCGCGCAAAGGCTGGTTCACACTTCAGGCGAATGCAGAAGTGAAGCGAAGTTGATGCTATGAAACACAATAATGGACTTCTTGAAATGCATTCCACTTTTGTAAATTTGCTACGAGAGATATATGGAATGACGACATACAATTGTTCATGTTCGCACAAAGTCCAAACCATCCTTAAAGGCTGTCGTCTGGTTCTATATCTGTGAAACACTCGGACTCTGAGTTCAAACCAGTCACGTGAGGGAAAGACTGCATGCATATGACTTGACTAGGGCTAACAATTATGCATGTGCCTATGGGAAAAAAACTTAGACTCTAACTTTCCGCTTTCACAGACAAGTGCATTGTTGTAAGCCTGGGCTAAGTTATTCCAACAAGTGGTAGATACCCTACTGACCTTTATCCCAAACCACCATGAACGAGTGGCTGGTGACCAGCTCGCACCAGATCCTGGACGGGGCCGGCACCAGACCATCGTAATCCACTTGCAATACGTGGCTTTGTAGTATCAAGTTGGGGGGACACCTCTTCAGGGCTTCTTCAATTTCATCTGCAAGAACAGACAAACTGGGTTACGAGCCCTGAGCTGGACCAAGAGAGGGCGCAACTGTCCCAGTAACGGAGGCTCCTTTGGTGGGAACTGCACTTCACTAGTTCACAAATGACTCTGAAATGCATACGTTACAGTCGCACTGTTACCAACAAAATGAACACTCCTCGTCAACATGGCTCATTTAAACCACCCAGTGGGTGCTTCAGCTCAAGGTAGATAGGCTAGTGCACATAACATTCCCAATAAGCATGCATCTGTCATTTGGGACAATTTTGCAAGAGTTTTGGAAGACAATAGCCATCATACTTGGGGTATGATGACTCAAGGCAGTTAAAGTACCATGTGCCACTGAAATTGTGAAGCGGTAGATTTTTCAAGATTCAGGAATTTTCCAAAATAAACAATGCTTCAGGAGCTAAGCTTAACCCTAAAAAAACTTTCTCTGGGAGAAGGGGGAAATTGTGCCAAAGATCTCAGCTGTTGCAAGACCAATCATTGTGAAACTTAGCATGCAGTTAAAAACATCCTTAATGACGTGCATGTTAGTGTTACGATCCAAAACATACCATCTGTTATTGGCTCCTCTCCACTATCATTAGACAGAGACTGGGAGATTGCTAGGACCTGGACTGTGAGGGCGCTACCTGGCTTGAGGTTGGACAGGGTAGCGTGGGTGATGCTGGGAGGAAGGATACTGCCGCTGTGTGGGTGATCGTCCTTTAGGATAATGAATCCCTGCAACCAAATATAGAATCCTGTTCAGTAACAATTCTACGCGTAGTTTTGTAAAGAGTTGTTCTCACAGATCAAGAATCAACTCAAGCCGAGTTCCTACAATCAAATCGCCAGTGGTTTTCCTGCATGAGGCTGTTGAGATACTGTTATTGTTACTTTCTGAAATGCAAGAAGCCTCAAATGAAAACGAATTTAGTTTCAGCATTTGTACAGACACAGTATGGCTGCCGTGTTTCTGGATAGTGAAGTTCATTCCACGCAAGGAAATGTTGCCAAATGTGCCACTTTAATGGTAAACCATTCCAGGACGTTGGCAACAATTGCACAAATGCAACACACACTCCAATCTTACTACTTCATCTTTTACAATCACAGACATGACAGCCAGTGATCGACAGTGTACAGTACATGCACCACTGCACGGAAAAAATCAATGTGCCCGATAGTGTTTTGGTTGTTTTAAAGTAGAGGTTTACCCCTGTGATGAACAGTACTCATTTAAGGGCCAAAAACAGTTATTAAAAATCTGCATCTCCCTGGTGCAAAGTTCACCTTTGTAAGTGCTCATTTTTACTACCTCTAGAGTGATAAAGTATCCCATACGGTTAGCGCCTGTACGTATGATGCATGTACTTATTCAATGTGATGCAACTCTATGTACGAGTCCGAACTAAACAACTTCACCTGGACTTCAGATGCCTCGTCCTCGTCGAGTACGGCCCACATTATGTCAACGCTGTCTGAGTGAATGCACTCCAACCTCAGGTCCAGAGACACGGGCAGTGCCCTGGAGCAGGCTACCGTGAGCAGGTTGGACTCTGGGCTCAGGACACCACAGGTCACCTCGGTTGGTTGGTCCCCCTTGAGAGAACTCCAGCCGGCATGGGCCTGACGGGGAAGCACAGATATACTCATAGAAAGGCTACTATGACAAGAATTGGTCAAAATTTCCTCAGTGCAACTGTGCCCCTATGTAAGCAGGTGTTTACCTTTTGATTTAAAAGAAAGCCAAGGTTTAGAAAACGGCCCTTTATTCCACACTATCAGGAAATGTTGGACATATTAGATTGGGAGTTTCAACTGTGTTGATGAAAACAGCAGTAACAACGTACAAATTGACAATTTGACGTATTAAACACACAGTTCATCCATACGTATGATCATTTAATGCTCCTGCAAAGTACAATCAATCCTGGTTGACGTTGAATGTCAGTTGGACTTTGTGACTTACTCTGACTGCCACCTTATACTGACGGCCATTTGCTTTCAGGTTGAGAAGCGTGTACTTCAGATATGCATGCTTCTTGTTTGTCTTGGGCTGGACCTCTCCGTGGAGCCTGCCATCCACATACACCCTGTGTAGAAATAGGGAACATGACCGAGTGGCAGAGAGAGAGACACACATACAAACACATGAACAAATATTCACGCAGCTATACTGCAAAATAGTTATTTGGTCATTCTATAAATTAGGGGTCCAATTTTTTGGTATCCATGTCCCATCTGACGTATGATTTTGTAAGTTCAGAACACATTTTCTAATTTCCAAGAGTGATGAATTAAATGCAAGTTACCTGTAAAACAAATTGTAACAGCTTGAAATCAATTTCAGTGATACTTCAATGTCAAATTACACAGGTCAGGTGTAACAGGGACACAAAAATGTCACACTGGTGGACACTGAATTTATAAAATGACCCTATTGCGGACCGCGTGAAAATCGTCACGTCATAATGAACTGTTACAAGCTTAAAGTACAACTGAAAAGGTCTGCAATGTAATTCTTTCATCCCTTGCCTTTGTTGTGGAAAGCGTTGTGTGATCTTCTGTGAAATTCACTTGCACAGTTTTTTTTTGAGATTGGCATTACTAAGATATACTACAGTCTTAGAGTATTACCACATATGGGCAAATAGTATTTCCTTTCCCTACTGATACAGCAATTTTTGTCCAAATTCAACTTTTAATAAATATCTCAAGTTAGCAACGACAAAGTTTAAATCACAAACGTGAACAAATGTGTTTTAGACCTTCTAGTTTATGTCTATAGTCAGGTTTTTTAGCCAATCAAACTTTTGTAACTGAAATTTTTTGTTAGTGTTTTTGTTCCATATGCTGCAAACATTTAAGAAAAACACCTCGTAACATGGAAACACCCATACAATCCGTTGCAGGCTGCTAGAACAAGCCTTGTGATTGGTCAGATTGCGGGAGAATTGTAATGGGCTATCCAAATATGGTAACACTCCTAGCAGTAGTAAAAGCAGTTTAGATATGATTTCTGGATATTATCATTGTGCAGACACCACATGCAGACTTACTACATGTACTTTAAGATGTTACTAAATGCTTAAGTTCATCTCAAGCTTCCTCTCTACACCAGTGCTACCTTCCACTTCCATTTCTTAACCAGATTTAAAGTTAGACAGAGTCAGTGCGGGTCTGCGAGGCAAGCCTTGCTTTTGACTATGTCCTCCTTTCAACCTTTTACAGTAAAAAAAACTTGTTTCAGTGGACATTTAACCACATGCTGCCGGGGGACCCGGTTTCCGGCACATAGGCTAACTACACGAAGCCTGGGAGCCCGAAACCGGACAAAAGAGCTGGGCCTTGTAACAAAAGACTGTACTCCGCACAAAAGACTGAGCTGCTTTTTCAGTTGTCAATAGCGGAGGAAATCCGTCATTGTTTTGAAAGATTATGCCACTACTTGAGGCATTCAGTGCAAGCAGATTCCCACCAAAGGCGCTCAAGCACTCCAGCGATGAGCGATACAATACCTCTGCATGCTAATCTGGCCCCTATTGAAAAGACGCCAGCAGTGCGCTGTGCCGGTTTCGGGAACAAAAGAAACTTACATAACACCGCACAATCTGGGCTCTTTTTACAAGGCTGCAGGCCTGGCTGAAATACTTGTCAGATTAGAGTAGCCCCTAGACAGTCCTTCATGTGGGTGTAAACATCCAGTAAATGAAGTTATGATTTTTTGAAGAATTTTGAAAAAACAAAATCTTGAAAATCCCCCGAGTATATGTCATCTAACTTCAAATTCCACCTGGCAGCAAGTGGTTAATTTCTCAGGCAACAATAATGCATTTCAAGATGCACCTTACGTTAGGGAGATGTTAGTTTCAAGTATGGGGTTTTGCTCTTACACCGACGTATATTGCAACAATGAATAAACTCACTGGTAATGGGTGAGCTGTTTGCTCTTCTGCTGATGCCAGACGATGACGGCGGACTTCTCTTCGGTGGATGGTTCTTGCCTGATGGCCGGGGCATCGGGCACCTCTGGACAAGTCACTGTCACAAAGTTTGAGGCTTTGGTCTGGCCAGCGTTGGTGGTCACCATTGACAGGCTGAAACAGTGCTTGAAATCTGTGGCCACAAAAAAAAAATGAATAGCATTCTTTGAATGATTCCCAATTGGTTGTCAAAAACTGTCGACTGCACAAGTCAGTACAGGTAGTTTCACAAGGGAACACAAAGAAACGAAATAATGGGCCAAACCTGCAGCTTAAAACTGACAAATGCTTTGAACATGAACGGGACCAAAAACCACACTACTATTCAATGGGAGGATTTAAACACAGTAATGAAATGTAATGATTATAGCTTACCCCTTTGTTTCTTAAAAAAATTTTAAAGTCAAAGTGAACGACACAAAGTAACTACTTCATAAATCTGAAAATGTCAACTCACCAGGTTTCAAGTTCTTGATTGTCTTCTCCGTCTTGCCGTATGGTATGATCTCTGATGTGACTTTCCCGTTGCGCGTCAGCTGGTAACCCATGACATCAATGTCCTCATGGCAGTGGCCAGGAAGCCAGGACAGTGTGACCTCCTGGAGGCCCACAGCCTTGGCCCAGAGGCGTGGGGGCAGGGGCGGACCGCCCGTGGTACAGACAATCGGGTGGGAGCTCCTCTTGACATGGCTCTGGTGGGCAGAGTCCTTGTGGTGGTAGGTCGCATTTACAGTTACGCTGGTTAATCAAGACAACGAAATAAAAAAAATGAAATGCAAACACCTGAATAACTGTATCTTATCAACAATGGCACGGGTTTGCAGGATTGATATCAAGTCAATCACAAGTCAACACAAACATTGCAAGTCAAGTATACGTCATTCAGTCCTTAGTCAACTCGCAAGCTATTTACGTGGCAGAGGCATTCCATTGTCACTGTTCACCTCTTTCGTTCTGATCTGATTTCTGAACTGACTTTACAAATTGACTTGTGAACTGACTTGTGACTGACTTGATTCCAACTCTTGTTTCTTTCAAGGAGTACGTGGATGATGATAAAAGCAAACCTGAACTTCGCCAGACAATGGAATTTTTAAAAGGAAAGGGAGGGGTTGGATCCTGTCCGAAGCCCAATGCAATTAATCAATTATTAAAATTTCAACATGTAATTGTATATATATAAATATACATGTACGTACACATTCTTGGCATGTCCATTCCTTGTGAGGTGCTCAGTATAAACTGGAAATGAAATGTTATTGAACACACTCCAGGGTATCTTGCTTTCCCTATTTCACACCTAATTTGACTTGTCTGCATGGTCATGATGACAGACGTAAGGATGGGCTTTTCAAACTCTTTTTCGGTGGAGGAGGAGAGAGGGCAGATGTTATGCCCCATCACGCCTTGGACAAAAAGCAGCAGATACCCTGCACTGATGCCCAAGTAGCACATTTTGAACACAATAAAACACGTACACTTGCAAAGAAACTGGAGTGATCTTAAGAACTGCATCCTGGGAATTACCAACCCAATGTGCCACAGGGTCGGTCAGGACTCACCAGAGTGGGACTAGGTTGTAGGTTTTTACCTGTAGGCTGTGTTTTGCGACAGTCCCGTGACTACAAAGACTTGTCCCCTGCCTGCATTCCAGCAGTGCTGTACCTCGGCTTCCCCACTGTCTGTGGACATTTCTTGCCTGCAGGGAAGGGAAGCAGGAAATGAGAATGATGTGAGTCTAACTAATCACAAGTAGACAAAGTATCATTTTGCTCGAGTCAAAATTTGTTCAACTTCTGTACTGACACGGGGTAAATATCCGATCAGACATCATAAAATTACATTCGCGTTCATGCCAAGTACAAATAGGCCTGTGTGTGGCAAGTCCGTCCTCCTGGCTTTGGCTCTTGCATTTACCTGGAGTGGCTGGTGATGCTGCCATCGAACTGTCTCCCAGCAACGCACACACTGTAGTGGTGCAGAACGTAGGGAGTGGGGTGACAGGATGCAGTCTGCCAGCGGACGTGCAGGTCTGTGTTAGTTGGCCGACTGTGGACGCTCACGACAGGCTTAGGCAGGGAAACTCTCTCGTGCTACAAAAAGAACGGGCGATCAATAGTGTTGGTGGGTCTCACATTCTAATACTACACGTAAGGAGCACGGCCTAGCAGGAAATGCTGTTCAAGTGGAAAAGGGATGATAGACTAATCCAGTTGACCCTGCCCACTGCACGTGTGGGAATTTCTCTCCATTGCCGCACAGCAGGTTGCACCCGTGCCTGTAGAACAATCTACCCCATCACATTAGAAACTTGGTGTACCATCATTCAATTCTGCGATCAGCAAACATCTCTTCCCCAGAGCACAGCTGATTATCTCTCTCTAGGTTCCTTTCTGTTGAATTAGAGAGTGCCTTGTATTCTCTTGTAATTTGGCACTACATATAATTATTACCATTTATTATCACAGCTGTTGATTGGTCGAAAGACAGGGGGATGGGGTTAAATGGATCGGTCCATTCTGGAAAGGGAGGGTAAGGGAAAAGCCGAAAGGGGTATGGTCACAATGGGATACTTGACGACACCATTAAGAGCCAGAAAATATTCCCTACACGTGTACTTGTCCGAATCTGTGGGTCCGTTTTAAATACTGAATTGACATCAAAATAACAGAAGAGGTGAAGTCCACATACATGTAAATACAATGAGGCAGCATTAACTTTTCATGCATCAGTTCAGAAAGAATATGGTATATGGAAAAAGACATAACTTCTGAGAGAGAAAAGTTAAACGAAACCATGTGGGTACAATAATGCAACATGCAAATAATGTCCACAAATGTCATTCAATGTATTGAAAGCGGAGAAAATTACATGCAGGAACTAAAAAAAATCCAAAGTGAGCAAAATACAGTGCTACAAACTCAAAACATGATTGGGTTGATGGATTTCATTGCAGTTACCTGCGCCTTGACTGGTTCCTTGCTTGGGTCACCCTCACCAAGACTACAAGCATCAACACATTCATCATGCAAAGGTTCTTTGTCTACATCGCTGGTGCCGTCACCATGCAAGGCTACAGACCCACTACCATCATGCAGGTTGTCACTGGTACTCCATGTCTGATCTTTGAAGTCTGGCTTCTTGCCTCGCTCTTGATGCTCCGATTCGGGCGCTGCCTGCTCGGCTGCAGGCTGGTGCGCACAGACGCTAGCCTGCAACACCGGTGCTTCTTCCTGATCGTGCAGTCTGGCTCGAGCTTTGTCTCTTGTCGTGCTGCCAACGGCACCATTCTCATGCACTTGTAACACATCGTGACTTGGACCACAACACGACACATTATTGGCATGCAACATGGACTGACCAGTTTCTGCTGCCCTAGTGGCATGCATGTCATCATCATCATCATTATCTCTGTCACTTTGGTAATCGTTTTGGGGTTGGGCTGGTAGGGTCTTTTTGAGGGACTGTGGTTCTACTGAGTGGAGTTCTGAATCACTACCAATATGATCTGCCATGTCCGAAACTGTATCAGCGTTAGGCAGTGGTGCTGACCCCCCGTTTTCAACTGAGGGTTCAAAAACTGCACCGGTTTCATCATCAAGTACCGCTTCATCTTGAATTCTAGCTTTGCTCTTCATGCTAACTTGCTCGTTTTCACCATGGGTTGGAAACTGGATGTCTGAAACCTGATCTGAATTTTCAACAATTTCAGGGGCCTCGGGAATGGGGACTTGATGTTTAGCCTGCTGGGGTAAAGATTGTGTTTCTAAGTTATCCTGATCTTTGCTGGTATATGTATCTGTGTGTGTGTGATTCTCATCGGTGGAAACTGGAACCCTGGATGTAGTTACTATGCCAGCAGCATCATTAGCTGCTGAATTCTTGTCCCAGGCTCCCCTCTCTGAGGTGTCAGGTTTGCCGTGATCTGTCCCACTGTTCTGTGGAGGGTGCTGGGTCCCACAGGGATTGACTTCCATGCTAGGGCCTATGCATGCATTGCTTACGCTGTCTGACTCTGGTTGGTGCGGGGGATCGCTGTCCGCCTGGGTGTCTGGCTGGGCGTTTGTCTGCACCTCTGTCCCAGTACAGTTGAATGTCTCCTCACTGCAAAAACAAATCAGTCACAGTACTTTTTAGTCCACGAGTCAAATTGGTGGCTACTCTAATCTGACAGACAACATCTATTGATGCCCGAGTATTTCAGACAGGCCTGCCACCTTGTAAAAAGAGCCCAGATTGTGTGGTGTTACTTTTGTTCCCGAAACTGGCAGTGCGCTGCTGGCGTCTTTTCAATACGGGCCAGATTAGCATGCAGCGGTATTGTATCGCTCATCATTGGAGTGCTTGGAGCACTTTCGTCTGCAGTGGTAATCCGCTCACACTGAATGCCACAAACAGTGGTATAATCTTTCAAAACAATGACGGAGTCCCTTCCCTATTGACAACTGATAATTGTTCGAATTCCCAGCAGCTCGATCTTTTGTTCCAAGTACAGTCTTTTGTTACAGAGCCCAGCTCTTTTGTACGATTTTGGGCACTTGGTTATGCATACAAACATAAGGAACCCGAAACCGGGCTTCCCGGCAGAAAGTGGTTAAAACTGATTATGCAATTTGGTACATGTAACACGTTTGCTTTTCTAAGATGTGAGAATGAAACAGATGGTGATGAAATGTCGTTGTGCCCTACCACTCCATAGATCTGTTGGGAGCAGCGTCTTTGATATCCTCGTGAGGCGTGTTCCCCCGGGTCAACGTAGACACTGACCCGTCAAAACTCTCCCGCCGCTCAATGGAAGGCAAGAGGTCAGCCTTTGCGTCTGAGCAAAGAAACAGGAATGAACGCTGGGCATTGATATCTCATCTTTGTATTATCGGAATGCATACAGACTTTCCTCCACGGCCAACTCTCATGGATCTGCTTTACTGTGAGCAAAGAATCTTTGCTAAGCAGAACAGTTGAGTCTGCGCTGTTGGTGTATTTCATAGGTTGAGCTATGAAATTAGGGTCGCTTGCATTTGTGCAAATCCAAAACGTATTGGTTTAGGTGCTTACTTGGTTAGCACAGAATTTTTAATTTAAGCAGCCTTCGTTCTTATGAGCTTAATTGCAAGATTACTGTCACAAGTTTATAACATGCTTCATCGGCACAGTTATTATGCAAGTTGGGTGACGGGTACAGAGCACTGACAACCACTGCTGGGTGGGGGTGTACATTACCTGGTGGCTTCCCTCGTCCTTCCTTGATGATGAGGAAGGGCTTCCCAGCCAGGCTGCCACCGTTGGGAAGGTGGATATTGTCTAGGCAGAGAGGCAGTGGGAGCTGCAACTCATTGGACAGGAAACCATCTGATTCGTCTGAGGGTTGGGGGGAAAAAAAAAAGATGATGTGGGTAGAACACAAACTCTTTCCAAGGGCTTAAGGAGAATTGCGTAAAGTTCCATCAGTCCTTCGGCATCTCTTTTGTTCACCTCTCGAAAAAAAAATGATTTGAAGTCAAAATTTCTGCCACTGCTCGTAATTTCTGATTAAAACTTCATGCCATAGTTCAGACTGGCAGTTGAGATGTCTCAGTCAAGAGCATCTAATGCTCTGAGGAGCTGCATATGCGGATAAGGAATTGACTTCATGGCAAGTGCATGCAGCTATGCTGCAAATTACTGAAGTTGGAAACACATCAATTCTAGCAAACTGCATACCTTATGTACATTCCAAATGTTTAGCGCCAAGTTCACTGGCATTCATATCCGTTTGGGCCATGAACTGTCCAGACCTACTGATACATCTCATGATTTGTGATTCTGTGTACATGATATGCTGGCCAGTAAGGGTATGTTATGTTGGAAAAAACACAAATTGACCAAACAGAACATTTGGTATTTGTATGGATAGAGGATAATGTTTCCAGTTTATAGACTGGCACAACGTAGAGGCCACTGAAGTGTACTGATTATTACAACTGTGACTTGTGGGAACTGTTGATTATCTCGACAGCATTGCTATTTGTGTCTATAGACACAACCATTCCAAGACCATCCCAAGACAATCACAGGTACACACGACGAAAAAAAAACAAGAAAAGCCTTCATCACAATTCATTCGAATCGCTTCAATATGACTTGTGCTCGTGATTGAATTATTCGTAAAATTTTGAGGAAGTGACTGTGATCTGTCGACACATTATTTTGTTACTGAAGAAAAGATCAGCAACTCTCAGGTCTTTCAGATGTTCCTCTTCAGTTTTCCCAAACACTGACTTTGTTTCTCTCCGGGCAGCGTCACGATGAACAAAGTGAGGGGTGCCTGGTGCACTTCTCTCTGGGGAAGGGTCAGCTGGCACTTCTTGCAGTCGCCAATCGTCTTGATCTGTTGGAAACAGAAAGCCATCATGCATGCAGGACGTATTGAGCAGTCGTGAATCCTTTTAACACTTTGCGCTAGAGAAAGAGTAAGTGATCCACTGATAATATTCAGATAACTCAATCTTATGCAGACTCCATAAAGACTAATGAAAGCCATTCTTTGTTTACTGTTTAGACTCTCTGATTGGCCAATTACTCCCCCTCTGACTCATGTTATAAGGTTACAACAGCATGGTTTATCTCATTCCTGAAGATGTTCTGAATAAAGAACGAAATATTGAATCAAACATGGCTTTCATTAGTCTTTATGGAGTCTGTATAATATTGAGAAAGAGTAAGGTTGTAAGAAATTTCAAGGACAGTCAAAACTGAGGACTTGCCAGAACCTTTCCTGCCATTTCTATCCATACCCTAATGCCTTGTCCGATCCCACTGGTTTTGGACACAGACTTCAAGTTGGACTCGTCTGTGGAGGTTGACGAGGTTGAGTACCCCGACGCAACAGCATTAAGGGTGGGATGTTTACACGATTAAATGAAACAAGTCCCAAATCCGTTTACAGAGTTTCCCAAACGTTTAAGCAGAACTGCCCCTTTCAGAGATCTGACATGACTGACGCAGTCTGGTGAGCATTTTTATTGCAAACGATGTCTGTAAAAAGTAATCTGATTTTCAGAACATTTTTCCCTCTTGGCATCCACGTTCCAGACAAAAGTGGATTCTAAAACAATAAACACAGCTTGTTTTAAATGCCCCAACATCAATCTACATTTTGACATTGGTTGGACCACGTGTATTGAGCTATATAATTACACATACATGTACATGAAAACACCAAGGTAGGCGGCAGAGGTCTCTGTAAAGTGTTGGCTAAACGTTATGCTCAAACCGTATGGGAAAGTTTTCTAAACCATTTTGAAATTAAACCAGAATTCCCACCCTTAAACCATATGCCACAATCAGTCAATGTAACAGCTACTGCTTTGCGGCACTGCCTCAGAGCACAGAAAAGACAATGGTGCAATGAGAACTGTGCAAATCTCAAACAAGTAATTCCCTCGAGTCCGCATTATAGCAGCATATTGAAGAGTGGCTGTGGTTTCGTGTGGCTTTTAAAACATTTTCGACTGAAACTGATACCACACATGGGACCAGTTCATCGTGCATTAACCCTAACCTTCCCTAAACACACAATTGAACACCAGTAAAGTGTGTGAATTTGTGGCACTGGGTACTGTACCCCTAAACTGCTTGTGCTTCAACATGGGTTCAGGCATACCCAAAATAAACAGAGTCCTACAGTTTTTGTGCACACATAGTGTTGGAATTTGTGTGAATGGGTATGGTTCCTAGTAAATCACTCTGGGGAGTTAAGGTTAACAGCATCTGTAAGCGCTTAAGGGTGCTCAGGAAAGATACTTAAATCCATACTGGTCATGGCCATGTCCCAAGCAGGAAAACTAGCCAAGATGCCTGTCACTTTAATTCTTTATACAGTACCCACCTCACCAGGTGTCTCCCTGCCATCAACGTATATCAAATACTTGGTGGGTTCAGTGTACAGGTAATCCAGCGAGGTCCAGACGAGGTTGATGGTGTCCTCCTGATCCGTCACCTCGCAGGACAGGATGGGACCTCCCAGCTCATAAATGGACGGGCAGGTCACCTTCTATGGAAACAAGCAAAAAACACTTGGGTGCAAGCACTCATCACGTACATGTACATGAACGTACGCTGCATTCATGTCCCCTTATAGGTTACATAAATTGGAGCAAAAACTGTTCCACATCACTGCTTGGCCTCCAGCTTAATAGACATGTGCGATGTATTTCATTGGAATTGCATGATGTGCCTCTTGCCGCGAAGTCACCAATGTCAGAGCTGGAGCTGCGAATTCACGCAAGGATATGTTTCAGCTCCATCGTCAAATTGTGAATACTGAAAACAAAATGCTTGTGTTTGCAGAGACGTCCCACAACTGGAAAGACGGTCTCCTTTAGGCTCTTGAAAGAGACTCTCTTCAACTTTCGAAACATTTTAAACAACTTTCAAAACTTGTATATTTCTTGCCAAAAATTGGGTACTCCTATCAAAACCTTTACTGATATTCCACTTTCATCGTCTCCTACAAATTACAATCCAATCATTTCAATGCTACAGAAAAAACAGGATCTACAGTGTAAATTGCAATTACAAAAAAAACATTTACACGAATACTATTAAGTACTTCTCTTAACCTCATACCATACTGCAATCAAACTTAGCACTATTTTCTGATCTTAACTACTTCTTTGAAAAAACAAAGGCTAAACTTTGCCAACTTTACACACAAAACACACGTGCAAGTGTCATTCCTAAAACTGAGACTTCATTGTAGAGTTGAAGTCCTTGTCCAAATGAAAGAACTTTTCAATTTGTGTAGAGAGCAAGAGGACAGATCTATCAATTAGTGCTTGGGTACCAGTCTGTTTGATTCCTGTTGCAGCAGTGTGGAGTCCCTTGGCTGTGCGAGGATTGATATGATGTAGGTCTGGTTCCCCGTCAGCCCATCCACTGTGATGCTGTGGCAGGTCGGTGGCAGGTCATTGTGGTAGCAGATTCCATTCACGTACAGCTGTGTGGAGGAGAAATGCCATCTTTAGTTGGGAATTCATTCAGAGTTTTCCTAGACCTGGAAGCATTTGCTTGCTGTTTGGGAGTATCAATCACAGTAATAACACAAATGGACAACAATCCAATGTCTTGGTTGACTTCTTGCAAAAGTATTGTACAAATAATCACCCTTCATATGTGCCATACTTAATACACATTGAGACAAGTTATCAAGTACCATCACTGTTCACTGAAAAATAGAAGCCAGCTCCATTGTATTCAAATCTTAAAATGATTCCTTCATCTGATCAGAAAGCAAAATAAAGTCTACAAATTGAGGTCAACTTCACCCTATGATGCAATGCTGGTAATAAAGCTTTTCTATATTCTGAATTGCTCAAATCTGATAATCTGATTAAACATTGATTGCCGATCCAGCTCACTACAAAAGAAAATGAGCTTTCCAATAAAACATATCATACAGACCATCTAGAATTTCAAATCATGACACTGTCAACTTCACAAACTCAAGAATTAAATGTCAGAAGTTTTAAAAGAGAAACAACAAAAGATACAAACTGAGGTTATAAAAATCTACAAAATATAGCTTAGGGGGCTCTATGTACATGTACCTGAGTGTGACATCACATTCAGCGATATCTGATGGGTTTTCCCACTGCTCCCCACATAAAGTACGTGTACAGGAAAATTTACCTGGTATGACTTGAGTTGCCCTCTGTAGGGAATGCTGGGTAGGTCCCAGTAGATTTCAAGGGAGTTATCGGAGCCGCTGTGCAGCCATCCGCTGATGGACGGCACACAGTTCCACCACTGCCACTTGTTGGTCTGAATGGTGAATGAAAGGAAAAATGGGTCAGGGTGCTAGTTTTAATACATGTTAAATGCCAACAGCACCCTAACAATGGATATCTGGACCACAATCTAGGCCACTGTCACATTACTGTTATCAGTGCTGAATCCATTTATCAGTAGAGAATGAACAATTCACATATAACTGTAGGTGATATCATTGGTAACGATTATCACACGCATTGTAACAAAAGACTACATGTGACAATGAGATTCTACTGAACGGTTTGGGCCATTTGAGTGTGACTGCATTACACACCGTCCGGTGGTTGAACAATACTTTGTAAATTGAATTATTAAACATTTCAAATTACTCAATCTGATTCCAATAACGTTTGCTAAGAACAATAAGGGACATTCTTACAGGGCCTGGGCCGCTGTTTTGCATTTCGGCTTCTAAGTCATCCGTTGCCATGGAGACAGCATCATCGTCTTCAGAACCGTGGCCGACATTGCCCTCCAGCACCCAGAAGCGTCTGCGTGACAAGAGAAAGCAACTGTCAGTTAAACCAGTCAACCAACTGCACATAGTAAATCCCACATGTTGAACAGCAAAGGGTGAATTTGGACATCACTTCCTTTAATCTACATGCACCTGGCTTGGAGCAAAATGTTTCTTTTTCAGTTTCTGTCATTTTCCTACCCTTCAACTTCACAACACAAAGTTGTGTGGGCCAATTTCTTCCCTATGGTTGTGATTTTATCCCACAGCTCTGTGTACCAAACTGTCCAACTATGAAATAAAGTTGTTGCTCTGTGCGTCTGTGTTTAATGACCCCCAAGCTGGACCAAGAGAGGGCACAATTTCTCTAGCAATGCAGGCTTCTTTGGTAGGAGCTGCACTTTGCTGGTTCGCAGACTATGAAATGCATGCATTATGGTCACATCATTACCAACAAAATGACCCCTCCCGACCAACATGGCTCTTTTCCACCAATGAGGACGGGCTTCTGCTCAAGGCAGTTTGAGTTCAGTCAAGTTTGAGTACAGTGTACTTGCAAAAAAGCTGTCCAAATATTTGGTTAATATTCAAATATCCTGTTTATTCAAGATATATATCTTTAGTTCTTGGAAATGAAATCTCTACTTTGGCAGTGCACCATTATTTTTTCTGGTCCTGCTGATGTGAAGACCAGGCTGCCTGTCATTAATCCACTGTTTACTCTTTTGTCAAACTTTCTGAGGTTCTTACTTGGAGGTAAAGACTTTACTAGGTAGAGCACCGTTATCAATTGCAAGGGCTCTGATGATGTGAAGACCTGGCTGTCTGAGACTGATCCCCTTCTCTGATTTGTAAACCTGCAGATGACAATGTCAAGTGTAATGAAATAAGGAATATTTCAAGAAAACTGTCACTGAACGACAGATTCTCAAAAAGTGACATTTAGTGTCAATTAACAGTTTTTTTTTCCTTGGAATAGAGCCTAGAGTTTCTATTAATCTTCTGTGATACTAGTTAGGAATGTTGTGTTCTCAGCTGTTTACATGCATCCAGCTAGAATAAAATGGAAAAAAAGGGTTTTTTTTAAATAAAACATAACAAAAATGGTGTGATGTCTTCATTTCATCTGCGATCAGCTTTTCTAAAAGATATCATGCTGGACAACCCCATAATCCACTGCAATATTCTAGAACAAGAACAGTTACAATTTATCCTCATCGTAAATAACAACTCAGTTATTCTGAGGGAGCCTGATGCATCATGCACATACCCTGGTAGCTTGTCCATGAAGCTCAGGGATGGAGCCGTCCAGCGTGTAGAGAATGGTAGCTGTCTGCGAGGCGGACTGAAGCTCGACGTTGTGGAGGCGTTCAACGACGCCGCCGTTTGAGCTCGACGTGATGATGGGCATCGCAGACAGTGATTCTGGAAAATTCAGTCACATGGTTGCAACAAAAGTGAGGCCCGTTTACACTTCACTCAAGTGCAGTTTATGAATTTGACAACACAGATCATTCCAACAAAATCTGGAAGCATTGAAATAAGTTTAACTTTTCTGAATCCCAATGCCAGTATTTAGTCATGGCATCACCACTTCAGATTTTTGATACCTGCTTTAGCACTTAGCATGCACTGGCTTTGTCACAGATTAAAAATTATCTAGGAATCTGTCTGCTTCGCACACAGATCCAAATTTTGATCAGCAATCCGTCACCAGTTCACTGGCACGAGATCCTGCCTAATGAAAGGGGCGAACCAGTGCTGGGATCACAGATCGAGACCTAGATCCGTGTAAAACAAACAGGCCCTAGCATTGCCTGATCCCTTGTTGTGCATGTACATGTATGTCACTTCTGACCATGACTACTGACTTAAGATACTGCATATTGTAACAGCAACCTGCACTTTACTGCAAAATCACCGCAAGCTATTCTTTGTATTCAACTACAGCATAAATGGCAGAAAGGCAAAATATTACTAACATTAAGGGGTCACTGAGGACCCATTCTAACTCACAATGTAAGGCTGTTAATGTGCAGTAGACGACCAGAGAATAGTGGCAGGAGGAAAAACAATGTCCATGACAGGCCTCGACATTCGCGGTTACCAATTGCCTGGGACAAATTCCTCGTTCAGTTCGGGCAAGTAATAATTAAGGACAAATTGCCTGATTTTTTCTAAAAATAAAAGTGTCCATTTTTTGTGTCCAAGAATAGCGGTCAGAAAATGTACCTTTGATTTGATTTGCTTTCCTCTTCACAAAAGCTTATAAAAAGTGGTAAAAAGTATACAGTTACAATGAGGCTTTGCATTGTTATGTACATTTACATGTATTAATGCTCACTGTACACTTAGCAGGGCACCTTTCCACACAAGAGAAAATGCATACATAAATAAACTGTAAAATACACTTGTGTCTGGGTACCAAACCTCATAGCACACGCGGTGTAGTGGAGTTTTGCGGGGTGCTCAAAGACTGTTTCACATGTGGCTGTGAGTTCAACGTTAGTGAATTTTGCCTGGTACTTATGTATGTACTTTTTATATATGACCCCAGGCAGAATCGTCACGTGGTTAAGAAATAGCCATTGCCCGAACTTGTATAAATGATGCATCAGAGTCCTGCGCACTCTCTGCCCCACATGCAATAGTTGGGGGTGATAGTTGGCCGGTCTGTGATAATTGTCATTTTTAACATGTTTCTAAAAGTGTACGCAACCAATTCATTCCCTCCCCCAGCATACCCTCTGTACTCTTGTGGAAATGATGACAAAAATGGATGACCCCTAAGTAAAGCAGCACATCAGTTCCATCTCTCTTGAGTACCAATTCTCTTGAGTACCAACAATTTTTGTTACTGTGCATTTGTATGCATATACTCTATTTTGATAGTGCCCAAGGTCAAACCACAACATCTTCAAAGAGGTATCTTTCTACAAAGCTGCTGCAAAGCGCATGGGATTTCTTCTCAGTGAACTCACCGTCATCGAGAACATGCACCACCCCTACGCAGCCCGGCGCCCCTTCCGACGTCTCAAAGAACGTCCCCGGCTCCTCAAAGGTGAACAAGAAGCTGTTGTTGGGCTCGGGGTTGCCACTGCTGAAGGCCAGGGGGCCAGCGACGGGGCTGTAGGGGCGCTCGTGGCTTGGGGGATTGACGTGAACGATGTTGTGGGTTTCAGAATGGCTGCCCTTCCAAGACCACAGTACACCCTGGCCCTATAGTAAATGCAAAATACATGTACTGAACATTTTACGAACAAATAATGCTAGTTTAGTCACCGTTGTATACATCATTGAAGGCCAGAAAGTTTGCTGCAAATATCAATCTGACACCACAAATTTGCATTTATGATCCCTTCGACACCAAGAACAGGCTGGCCTTAGACGTGTTAGAGATGGAATATGGAGCAATAGAGTGGTGAGGTGGGAAAGGGGGGCAGCTTAATTACGTACACATGTTTAGGGATGGACAAGTTGGATATCTCTTGCATGTTCATCAGCAGACTTTGTGCATCTGTCTTATGAACTTGTTTTTTCACTATAAAGCCTATGTTCCTTATTTGCTTAATTCTTTACTTAGTTTTTACAGGTTTTTTTTTCTTTGATGTGGCCTGTTTGCAAAAATTTTTGTGTTTGGTCAGAGCAATTTGTCACTACACACAGAATGGGTGAGACAGTTGCCAATTGCCACCTGCGAAATTATAACGCAGTCTCCTTGAGGTGAAATCCTCACTGCACACTTCATTATGCCTCAATCCCATTCACGGACTTTACCCAGCGACTTATCGAACACTGTGAACTGCAGAGACTTCTGGAGAGAAGTGGACATGATTCCTAGCTTAGCTCCTTACCCTGTTTATACTGATGGCTGCAGGCTTGAAGCCTTTACTGGACACCAGGACGGTGACTGGACCGCTGGGGTTGCTGACCACCACACTGCTCAGGACAGTCTTACTGCTGTGCTCATACTGTGGTCATGAAAAACAGAGAGTCTGCACGGTACCTGGTGTAAACCACCCTCCGCACCATTATCCAATGCATGTGTATCTCCAAATTCTAAGCCACCTAGCCTGTACAGTGAGTACTGACTTCAATGATACTGTTGATAAATGCACTAGAACATAAGGAGTCACCTATGCAGTCCTTGGCAAAAAAACCAAATCAACGATCATGCTAACATCGTAAAGATTACTTAATAGAGGTATTGACAGTAACCTGTTGCCTTCTCCACCGGGGAGGAGGACAGATTTTATTTTAACCAATATAACCTAATAGTTATCTAATATTACATGTGAGAGTTGGTACAGCTTGAGATTCCAGAAAGTATACATTAAAATGGTCTTGTTATGTGATAAGTGAAGTGTTCTGAAGGCCAGTTCTCAAAATTGACTTTTAAAAGTAAGAGTGATCCTTTCTCAAACTCAAGCACTTCCCAACCTGTTCAATCTGCGAAGTGGTCACTCAATTTTTCTTCACACTCACTCACCATGAACTTATCTGTTTTATTGGAGAACGCCTTGCTATAGTAATGGTAGACACCAGGGTTGGAGAACCTCAGTGCACAACAACGCCTAGACGATGGAACCATTCACAAACATGGTAAAGTGATGACTGACTTTCAAGGTAAAAAAAAATAATGCACCAAAGATCAAATTCTCCTGTGGTTCAATCCGCTCCGAGCGGAACAAGAGAGGGTGTATTTTTTGGTACTCACCGCATAGGTGCGCCATGAGGCACGCATGTATAAGTGCGTTTGAGGCGGAGCACGCCGAGTACGCGTAACTAATGTATTTCGGCATGCATGGTCTTTGCGTACACACAGAATGCATGCAAGAACCCACTTATAACCTTTTTTCGCTGATTGGAATTGCACTTCAGCTCGGGCAGATGAAATCCATAATACAATGTTGTACAGAGCTTCACAGGTGCATGCTAAAATCAAATGAAACATGTATCAATTGAGCGTGTACTTGTCATTTCAACCAGGTGTACCGGTATGTAGCTGTATGCAAAAAAACATGGTTTCAGAGTTTTATTATTTAGTCAACTGTAAAGTCCCATGGTATTGGAAGATGACAAACTAGTTGCCTGAGGCAAAGCTTCCATATTTGATTCGTGCATGGATCCTCCCATGTGTGCCAAGTAAACAGCACAATAGCAACTGACATGTGATCATGAACGGACCAATGAGAGTTCAGCTCTTGATCATGAATATGCACCAAGCATGGTTATCAACAATATTTACTGATCACAACCCACATGGTTGAAAATATGAATTTTATGGACCTTGGTGTAACAACGTCCTGCGTGTAGGTCTGAAGTTCAAAGACCTGCTGTGTGTTGGTGAGCTGCGTCAAGCCGTGCTTGCGGAGGACCGGCCAGACCCAGGCCACACAGTCGTGCGTCTGCGCCAGCACAGGGTCCGGCTGTAGGTGGTTCTTGGAGACCAGGACTTGGTGGATCTAGATAAGCCAACACAGAGGTGGTGATGTTGAGTGTCGTAACCTGTTAGTCAATGCACCATTTGGAACTGTTTGACCTGTCATTCCTAATACTACCCAAAACCAGCTGAGCACATGGACAACCATAAAGGAGACAGCTTAACACTTTTGCTTTGATTCCAGTTGACTCAGTTGACACGTTTGACCAGCCACCCCAAGCCAAATTTATGTACAACTACAAACTTTGGGTTTAGAATTTCAAAATCCAATTTACACTGGAATTTTGTGCACAGAAAGCGTTACCATTTATGGACCATTTAGACCTTATGCATTCACAATGTGCTACAATCTCACCACTAGCAGCATTTCTGCTTGCCTCATTTTGGGGACGGTGTGACCGTGAGTCCTACTATTCCCCTTACATACACTATTTCTCATTACTGGCCTTACCTGGGGTTGTGAGACAGCCACTACAGCACCATATAACTTTGGCAAGGCAACGCTGAAAGCAGAACAGACATGTCATTTATCAGTGGTCATGTTTTCTCTAGCCTTGATACCGGAAAAAAAGCATCAGCAATTGAAATTCCATCAGCAACCTCCTGAACTATTGGCATTGTTACCTCAGAAGTGTTTAGGACCTTGTTTGCTTGCTTGAGAAGACAGCTTACAAAGTTTACCGTAGTAAAAAAATTTGAACATAGAATTCAACTTTCAAGCGGCCAAATAAATGCAAGAAAAGCGTGGGTCTCTGTGTGTCCGATGTATGAAACTTTTTTCTTCATTTTTTCAGGATAACTGATATTCACCTCTGATAGTAAACCACAGCACCAGCATTAAACTGCCTAACGAAAGCAGCCGGGCTGTCCTGGGGCTGGCCACTGCAGAAGCCCTCTTTTGTGGGGTGGCCATGCCGGGATACCTACAGATGAAGATGTACACATAGAGAAAAGATCGCATTAGAAACTGCAACTATGCTGCATGTTATGGGGTTCAATTCCATTGGTTAACACACAGCTTTAACATTTAAATAGTTATAGAACAGCAGAGCAGTTAAAATATAACCAACAGTGAGGACCATATCTTACTTCACAGCATAACTTAGGATTTTCAAACTAAAGAAATAGGAGGGCTTTTTGGCTTCAAATACATTCAGCAGTGAGATTTTCAATAATTTTTTTTCTGACTTTTCTAAACTCTACTTAGCCAAATCCCTAGCACAGAAAAAGATTTGAACGGCCTTCTGTTGCTGCTTGGTGAAATTTTCATTTTGTTTGTTAATAATACACTTTTAATTCTGCTTTTTATTTTAATCGGACAAAACATTTTGTTAGGATGGGTGGTAACTAGTCCTACAATCTGACCTGGTTCAAGGTGTGAGAGTTACTATTCATTATGTGTTCTGTGTTGAGAGAAGGTTTGCGGGCACAACATATGTAATCAATCTCTTCTATAATTCTCTTCTCTAATCCGATTATAGATACCATAACTGCGGTGGGTCAGCACTCACACGCACATTCTTTGGCTTGACATGCATTTGACAAATTACGACACCCTGTTGGTCGAAGAGCCATGTAACACGCATGTACCACCTGTCCACGGGCGGTCTGCCACCGCAGTAATGGCCTCTAATTCTGGTTGTTGAACTACTCTGTAAGAGTGGTAGTTCTGAGAACCAGTGAGTCAGAAGAGATCAATTCCACATGGTGTACTCGCACTCCACTATGCAGTGTGTTCTATGTCACATTCTACAAAACGGCAAGATACCAAATGTATGCTTAAAACTGCACTGAGAAGAGCATATTGGCAACAAATCATTTGGCGGTGAAGTGATTTCACAGGCTCTCAGTGAAGTTGTGTTTACATTAAAGGGATCTTCCAGGAGCAACTGCTGACTGGCCGCGCCCCAGCCACCCACCTGGAAGATGTTATGCTGCTGTTTAGTGTTCTCCCATGCCCACCACACCCTGTCGCCTGGGTGCACCCTCAGCACTTTGGGTTCAAAGCCCGTGTCCTTGACTGAGATGCAATGATCCTACAAGAGTACGAAGAAATTACACCATGAATGCATAAGAACAGTTTGGTGTTGATATTTTGGGGTGTATGTCCCACATCAAGGCAATGGTGTATCTAGGTCTAGTAAAATAAAGGAACACAATTCAAAAAAACATAGGGGCCATGGCCTCGCCCCCTGCCAGCCAACACAAGCATTTGCAAAGCAACATTTTCTGTTGGGTGCAGAAGCCAAGTGCCGAAGAGTTGAGAGAGTTATTAAACAGTACCTCTAAGGAAAACATGTTTTCTCTGATTTTATCTGTTCAAATAAATATGGAAACATCCAAATCGAACGCAGTCTCATTTGTCTTCAGAGCTCAACTATAACAAGCTAAAAAAGGGCTTTTTTCTGTTCATGCCAAAATGTGAATTCTGAATGTAGATTACGTCATTCGGAAAAAACAGAGAAAACTAGGGCAACCCTCGCCCTGTGTCCGTAGTAGATAATCCCTTACGCATGCCAAACAATGGCTACATGCATTGTTTGGCATGCACAAGGGATTATCAAGGGTTCCTCTCTTTTTCTCTGAATGACGCAATCTACATTCAGAATTTGCATCTTGGCATGAACAGAAAAAAAGCTCATTTTAGCTTGTTCTGGTTGAGCCCTGAAGACAAATGACACTGTGTTGAATTTGGATGCTTCCATATTTATTTGAACAGATAAAATTAGGGAAAACATGTTTTCCTTAGAGATGCTCTTTAAGCCCTAACCTTCTGGCCTGGGTTGACTATCACCGAGCAGCAGCCTACAGTGATGGGCGTGTCTGACACCCTATAGTGGTACACACCCGGCGTGTTCAGCTGAACGGTTGCCAGCCCTATGCGGGTGATCATCGTAGCCGCCTTTGGGGTGAGGTGTGTGCAGAGATCTAAGGAGTAGCGTAGGAATGGGCAGAATCAAAGTTGTAGGTATGTAAATCAGGGACTTTGGACTGTTGACTTGAGTTATATGCACACATAACCACATTATGGAAGGAACATGTGTACATCAATGAAATATAAACTTCATAAATGTGTCCCACTCTGCAAAAAGGTGTATTAAATTGCACAATGCGACAATGCATAATGGCCCATTCCATGTGCCGAGGGTGAAAATATTTGGAAAAAGTTTGAGGCAAATTGCTTGACCAGAAAGCCTCTGTTGCTAAGGAAAACCAAGAGAATCTCTAATTCAAATTTAATGTTTCTCTTTGTTATGTTTAAAGGGCATTATTTCAAAAAACATGTGTGATAAAATGAAATTACATAAATATGCAAATGGCAAATAACTGGCAAATGGCAAATGCCACTGGGATTAATTATAGATCAAATGAAAGCTTAGGATATGAGCAATTTGATAATATACATAACTGAAATTCCAATATTTTGATTATATATATAACTGAAATTCAAAAAAATGTGACATAATACACCTTTGTGCAGAGCCGGTCACATATAATACAGGATTACGCTCATCAAACTGCAGAAAAGTTGTTTCATCCATGCTTGCAAGTCAACCTTGCAACAAAAATCTTGAAATGCCACACTTCACCAACTGGCAAAGTTTCACAACTCAAATCAGAAGTACCGGTAATTACTGAATATTATTTTTGACCAGTATGTTTCTTTTTACCGGTACACGATGCTCGTAAGTACACTTACTGTTGCAATCCACTTCAGCAACTGTTTTGTTGTCACTTGCCACACAGCTATCCACCTGTAAAGACAGAAAGGTCACCGATGTGTTGAAGTAATGAAAAGATCTGAATCCAACCTGCATTTCTTGCTCTTGAAACCAAATGGGAATTGTTTCTGTTAGTGCGATATTTCAGTGAAGTCTGTGATGCGGTCTAATACCTACCGGTAACAGTAAATCTATAAAATCGGTGGTGAATTATATAGGATAGGATCAAATCATATGTTCAGAAAGATTGTCCACCGACGATCAAATGTTGAAAACAAGTGACCGGAAACACAAGGTGAGGAGAAATACCAAAACTAAGGTCAATTCTGTACCTGCATGACAGAGAAGTTGTCTTGTACGTTGTCCACTTCCCAGTTCCACCAGATTCTGTCACCACCATCAGCCACAGTCAGATCTGAAATCAATGGCTTCCAGATGTAAGCAAATACATGTAGCGGATACCACTACCAGATACTCCACAAGACAATTCGGTATTGATCATAAATGAAAACAGTGACCTATGGTTACGGCGTGTACATGCAATCTACACCAGGGATGGACTTCCTAGTATGCCAAGATATTGTACACAAAGCACGTACACTTGTCCCCTTCTTCCATGAAACGCATCCTTTAATTCACTCTATCGTGGACCCTTTGCCTATCAGTTCTCGAAAAAACAAAACTGGTCACTTTCTGAATTAGGACCAACATTTGATAACTATCTGAAGTCCCAGGGGAAGCAAGAAGGATGTCGCTGTAGGTGGAACATTCCGAATGCACAAGATGCCATAAATATTCTTTCATTCTCACTGGCATATCAATGAAATAGTTCAGAAAATCAAACAGTCAGTGAAAGACAAAATAAATTAATAATAATAATATCAAAGCATTTACGAGGCGCACAGAACCCTACAGTATCTGTAATTCATAGGCACCAACATAATCTCATTATACCTGCAACATTGGGCTCACAACATCTGAACACTCCTGAAACCATTTCAGCTCCCTAGGGAATATACCAGCCCAATGCTGCCATATCAAGCACAAATGTCTAAACATAAAGATCATATCTGCCCTCACAGGTACCTAGCACTCCTCAGTGGAGAGCTACACTGTACATGTAATGTAGACTCTTTAGGCACTCCCAGCTGAACAGTTACAGCCATTGGTCATATTTAATACCCTCCTAGACTCTTCAAGATCAACGTGCAATATTTGGTAGCATAGGGAGTGACAACTATTTTGCTTTTCTCTACAGGATGACAAATGTGCGATTGGATTCCTGCAGAAGGGAACTTTTTGGAAGATTTGGGAGGGCTTCTTGCGAGACATGTCCAGAGAGTTAGCATTAAGGATGTACATGTACCTGGGTAAAACCCTTCGGCTGTGACCTCAACGTTGTGCTCCTTCGCCCTGGGCTTGACAATCACCACCCCTAGGTACTCGCGATTGTCATCATAGTTATTGTCACAATAGTAGAACACACCAGGCTCTTGGAAGATGTGAGACAGCATGCCAGCTCGGCTGTGTTTGAATATGAAGAAAGAAGAAATACAATGATGGAAAACGACCTGAGGTGTTCCAAGAGTCTGGCAACGTTTTGTAAAACCTTGCATTAAATAGCGTCTCTCTCTCAGTGAAATCCTGAGTTTCACTTCACCATTTGTAAGCACTCCGATGCTGAACAGTCTCCTTAAATTTGTGCATGGGAGAACAATTGGGGATCCTGGCGAAATCAAAATCACCACTGATTGGTTAAAAGCACCATGCACCTTCAGTTGAGTGCACACCTCTCAAGCAAACAAGTCATAATTTGTGCACGCTCAGCTGAAAAGTAGTGGCGAGCGTAAAACATCACTGCATTACTGCATGCACATGTACAGGTGAGCAATTCCTTGTATTTTGTATGATGCAGTGTCTTTGAAATTTGCTCTCCGTGTGAAATGAAAATATTGACCTTCTTGCTCAGATGCATCTCAGCATATACATGTAAATGTATCTCAAAGACAACTGCTATGTATGCATTACACCTGATGCGTCATCATCTGATCCAAGAAGTTAACATGTCACAGCGGGTTGGGTTTAGTTTACTCCTGCAGCTGTTGCAAGTAGGTAATTATTTCTTTCAAGTCAGGGCTGCATCAGAATGTGTTGTCTAAGGCTAGTTCTAGCTCTTCTCTCCAATGGAAATAGGCAGGTATGAGCCGACTGTAGACGTAACTGCAACTCTGGAAGCCTATTTGGGACGGGGCCTGGGACTCACCTGGGAGCGTCACTGCTGAATCCTCCCTTGACAGGTCTTGGGAATGGATCACTGACGGAGGGACCAGTTGGTACCTCCATCTGTTGAATTCGATGCTTCTTTTTGCACTTGGGTAAAAAAATTAAACAAAAAATACATGCTAGACTTATCACTGCAGAGGAAATTCACACTGTAAGTATGGGTTACAGTCTAATCAGCAAGAGATTCTGATCTTGGTAAGGCCTTGAACGGCGAAATAAAGTCTGTTTTCACTCAAGCATAAAGTGAGTTGCAGCAAAAAGTCTTCAGTATCCCATTGTCTTGACCGAAAACGTATTCCAAGTTCATGCCAAGCTTGGAAATTATGTATGCAAAAAGACAAGTGCTTTAAAACTGTGACTGACTGAAATCAGTTGCAAAAAGTCATTGCACGGAAGCAAGTGATCAGCCTGAGACTTATTTCCATAAAACAGTACTATAGCACTTATTTTTCAAGTGTGAAGAAACAACAGACCCTTAGCAGACTGTCTGTTCTCAGACACTGTACAAAGCCAATTGACCAGAGTGCCAAGTTAAGTTCACAAAAGAATCTAAAAAGGACAATGAGAATTCTGTTAAGTTCATAAACAAACAAATGTTCACAGTCTGAGGACGCACGCTGACCTTGAATCTGTCCCACAGCCACCACACCCGATCTCCCTGGGTTATGGTGAGCAGCCGTGGTTGGAATCTCCTGTCCGTCACCTCCACACAGTGGTGACGCTGAGTGGCCTTGACATGGACCACACAGAGCTGCATCTCCCCATCCTCGTGACCTTCTGTCTGGAAGTAGAAGAGCCCCGGATTCCTGGAATGAAAAAAAAAGATTTTTTTATTTATTCATTTATATCTGTTCATCCAACAGCACATTTAGCACCAACACAACCAATTACAGGATGAAGTGATAAGTAAGAGGACAATGAAGAAATGTTCAGTATTAGAGGTGGGAGGGAAAACCCGGAGAGAATATTCCAGGGAAAACCTGGGGAGTCAGGCTGGAACTGAAAACCCAATCCACATGCTGACCTGGGTGGGATTCGAACCCGGGTCACAGAGGTGGAAGATGAGGAAAGAGTCATTACACCAACCTGACTCCACATTCTGGACATGCAGAGTACACATGTACCAAGGTTTGACATGTGGTCCACGATATACAGATGTACATTACGACTCAGAATGATTTCGATGACCAAGTATATCCCTAAAAGAAGAGTTATTGTAGAGGGGGTGTTCCCAGCCTAAGATCTCTAGTTATCAAAAGTAACATACAGTATTTGGATCCCTTTGACAGTTCGGCTTTAACCACTTCACGCTTTGGTGGTATTCAGCACAGCCCAAAACGTGAAAAAAAATTTACATGAAAAAGAAATCAGGACTTCAGACATACAAAATGTCTGCATACCTAAATGCCTCAGAAAGGGGGCAAAGTTGAAACAAAAGGGCTCAGAACTTGGTAATGCCTAAAACACCGCCCACACCAAAATACCTTGGGAGTAGTCAAAGTGCATTGCATGAAACACTGCCTGAAATGTTAAAATTGGTCTTCATGATGGAAAGTACATGTACTCACTGAAATTCATGCTTGTAGGATCCTGACTGCATGGGCACCGAGGTTCTGTTTATGAAAAAACAAAGATGTGCACAATAATTGTCCGAAGCTACAGCCATCATTTAACAGATGTTGGAACGAGTCTCCACATTTAATACAGACATACCGATATGCCAGGACAAATTATTCTAAGTTGCTATGCATTACCACATTCTACTGTTTGTGTTTTAATAAGAAATATCAAATGCGAGGACATGCTTTCCTCGCATTTGCTTTCTATCAATGGACATATCAAACATAAGGAAAGACAACACTCTCCAAGTTGCTATATGTCCACGTACAATGTACGTGTACATGTCCTAACATCTGCTTTCTATGGGTATATTAAATGTAAGGACAGACAACGCCTTTCAAGTTACTGTACGTGCACATACATGTACTAACATTTGCTTCCTATAGGCAAATTAAACATACACTGTACATGTACATGTTAGGACAGACAACGCTCTTCAAGTTGCTATACGTACACATTTATGACCTAACATTTGCTTTCTATAGGAGTATTAAACATACATGTACATGTAAGGACAGACAACG